TTTTTGCCACTAAAAACTGTTCGGAGGGGGGAAAAGGGAAACCAGTAGAGTGAACACTAAACTAAAAGTGGAGTGGAGTGTGGAATGGTGTGGTGTGGCGTGGCGTGGTGTGGTGTTATGTGGCAGCGGTGGAGGCAAGTGGTGTGGAATGGAGCCAAGACGAAGGAAAGGAGAGACATGTCTCGAGACAAGACAAGTCTCAGGTCTTCCTGCTCACATTCGAGTGACGTGCAAATTACCCCCGAAAAAAAAGGAAAGGCAGAAACAAACGACGACTGCAGAAGGGAGCGAGGGAGGTGAGTTGTAGTCGCGTATTTCTCTGAAAGATTAAGATTGAGGCAGGAAGGTTGTTGCATCCCTGCCACCTGCCACCAGCCACCAGCCACCATTGCGCCGCCTAATTGTTTTAGTTGTTGTTCCATGAATATGCTAAATTGTCTGCCACAGTTTTCGTGCTTGCGCCCTCTCTGCAAATGTTTATAAATGCAAATTGGCCGAAAAGTGCAACAGCAGCAGCAGCAGCAAAAACCAGGCAGAATCAGATTGGGGCTGATGGACGCCACTTTCCGGACGTGCTTGGTTGCCTTTCGGTGTGCGTCAGAATTTTGGGAATGGGAATGGAAATGAAAATGGAAATGGTATTCGGAGGCGACTTCGGGGACAGGCCCTGAATGAATGAATGACAGCACAAACAAGATAGGAGCAGGCGGCTGAATGCTGTACGAGCGAAGCTGATGATACCCTTCCTATGGTTGACATATGCCGAACAATAGGTATATTTAGACAATTTATCTTGCTCCCATTGCCACTATTCCTTCTCAGAGATTTATTCTGCGACAACGGATGCCTGCCAGAGACGCACACGCAAAAAGAGCAAAAGAAAATGCCAAAGAATGCAAAAACAAAATACATGTCGTGTGCATGACGAGGCAAATCGCTGTTCGACTGATCGTAAGGGGTTTTTCTTGTTGCAAAGGCTGATCTATACAACTGATTATTTCTATGGACCCTATATATGAGATTCTATCATTTCTGATAATGTGGAATATTCTTTTTTTACCGATTCTTTCTGTGTGTATATACGATCCAGAGGTTTCTATGTATTCCCATTATATATCACATGCAAATATCTACACAAAATCACAATACCCTGCTTGAAGAGTATACAAATGTAGAGCGTTGCGATGCGATCTGGGGGTTTACTTTCGTTTTCTGGCCCTGACATGGCCGATAGTAGACGTAGCGGGCAGGCGAGGCGGGCTGGGGGCTTGCCAATGCTACAAAGCAGATTGTCCGGCAGGCAACCTTCAGGCACATTCAGGGCAATCAAACCATCCGACTTTGTTATTCCCTGACTTTTGCGTGTGTGCGTCGCGTCGTAAACAGCAGCCACAGAAACAGAAACAGCAACAACAACAACAATTGCTTTTATTTTTATTGTAAGCTGTAAATTGTGTGGCAACAATGCCGCTGACATCGTTCGGCGCACGCTGACCTTCTCAAGTTTTGTTTGTTTGCTTTTGTCGGAATGGAATCTGAATGTAGAGAACTGGGGCCAAAGTTTTATTTGTTTGCTTGAGACCTGCCTGGGACCTGGGACCTGGGACCCGGTTCCCGGGACCCAGTACTTTCCCCCGCCGATTCAGAGGCCTGCGCCACTTGCCACACAATGCTGCTGCGTGCAATGCTCTCGAAATAGAAGTCCATTGGGGACGAGGCAGCGGCAGCAGCTGTTGCGACGACTCGACTTCTCTCTTTGCTTTTTTGTTTTGTTTTTGCCTGTGGAAAATCAATTTCAATTGTCTCGCACTTATCGGAAAATATACAGAAACAAATAAAAAAAAAACCGATAAAGATAAAGAACGAGTCAATCTTTTTTTGTTTTTGTTTTATTTTTGTTTCGGTTTTTCATTTGCACTTTTAGCAATTGAGAATTTCAATTGTAAATAATTGTTTAATTATCGACAATTGCAGTGGAATCGCGAATCAAGAACCGAGAACTGCGAACCGAACAGACAACAAAGCATTCTGCGTCATTCCATATACCGATTTCTGAGTCACAGAAAAATACAATCTACATATAAAGAATGATTAAAGAGCCGCAGAGAGTGATATAATTAAGCGATGATGCACGCCTAATGGGGGACACATTGCCTATACGCAATTCATGGATTACGTATACGCCCATTATGTCTATTAGTTGTACATTAATCGCATTGGGGCAAAGAAGGCGTCACTTATCGGATTACACACTTTTTTTCCCTCATGAGAAAATCTTTTCTCTTTCTCAGTTGCATTTTTTTTTGTACAAACTTTTCAAATTGGATATCAAATACGAGTACGAGTACATGGAGCCACTCAAAACTAGTTATGTCTCAACTCTAATTGTCTGCCATCATGCCTGCCTCTGCCTCTGCATCATGCCTCTGTTGCTGCTGCTGCTGCTGCTGCTGCTCCATTTGGCCTTTTCAGTTTTAGCCTCAACTTTCCAATCGTAGCCGAAACACTCGAAACTTTGTCTCCTCCGACATCATAATTTGCTGGCTGGCTCTGGCTCTGGCCCAACCTCAAACCAAGCGACTGCCTGCCTGCCAGCCTGCCTGCTGCCATACGATACCACGGCTCAATTCTCAATCCAAAACTTCAGCTCCACAGCGCCACAGCTCCGTAGCTCCATTGAGTGACAGCCGCTTTGTCTAGCTTTCTGGCCAAAAGAGACTTTCACCAAACAGAAACACACACACAGAGAGAGAGAGACAGAGAAACAGTGACAGAGACAGAATGAAATCCCTAACCTACCACACCTTAAAGCACAAAAGAAAGGCTGCTAAAAGCAGTCAAGACGACAGCATAAAATGGCAATAATCAAAACAGAAATGCGAACAAATCAACGAGCATAGACTTCATTATGTGGGACCATCAATCATGGCCAAAACGAAACGCCAAAGGGGGCAGTGGCGTGGAGTGGCAGCATGGAGGGAGCAGAGTTGAATGTGCTCCCCCAAAAAACATGAGACGTGCCACAAAATCACCAATACCACCTACCTAAACCAAAGTTATGGCCAACAGGGCGAACACAGCACACACACACACACACACACAGAAGACAGTCATCGACTCTTGTGGTCAAAAAAATGTGTGGCACAGACGCAGTGGCAGGAGGCAAGAGAGAGGCAGAGAGAGAGGACAAGCGCTATGAAGTGTTTAGTAAACAAATTGCGGTCTCCCCTGCCTTTCGATAATACGCATTTTAGATCAGCTTAGCGCACTCAAAATGGAGGCTGCACGGGGCATGAACAGCAAAGAGGGGACTCAGAGTGGTGGTAGAGGGGCAAGTGGCGGTTGGAGCCAAGTTATAAGTGCATTGCACCGAAATATCGATTGACGGAGCAGCAGCAGCGGCAGCGGCAGAAGAAGCAGCGCCAACAAAAGACGACAATCAACGCTGGCGCGCGATTTTCACAGTTCCAGGCATTCAACTTAAAATGCGTGTGTGTACACTGAAAGAAAACTTTAGCGCCGTAAATTTTGTTATATTTACTCCGCGTATTTATAGATTTTTGCTTGCAAATTTTATTTATTTTCTCCAAGTGTACAGCACACTCCTCAAACTTTTGTGGGGAAGCGTATTAAAAGGACATTGAATGTACGCGCGGGGGCGGCCAGGCGCTCGTTGGGCAGGTCACGGGAGGGGAATCGCAGTCGAACTTGGGGTCGGGGCGTTGGCGCTTGACGGCGGGCATCAACGTCACGCAAAAAAAAGCAAAGGGAAACCATAAACTCAAATTAATGACCTCGGCTGATGACTGAAGGAGAGCAGGCCAACGAGAGAGAGGAAGGGAGACAACAGATAAATGCTCAAAGGCGAGGGAGAACAGAAGCCAATAACAAAAGCAAAGCAGAGCAGAGCAGCAGCAGCAGCAGCTAAAATAATCATAAGAAAAAGACGAATAAGAAGAAGAAGAAGCCGAAGCCAAAGCCGAAGTAGCAGCAACAGAAGCAGAACAACGGCACATGGCCATGTCCAATGTCTGGGTGTGATTTACCGTTAACAGTTTTTTGTTGCTGTTGCTGTTGGCTGCTGCTGTTGAAAATTAATCTTATTGCAGGCGATTTCACTGCGATTTACACTGCACACACATGCATACACTTCTGCATATACATATATATATGTATGTATGTATGTTTTAGATAGTATATACAAATTGGAACTGCTCCAGAGAGCCAAGCGGCAGATGGTCACCAATGCCAGGGAAGGGGAGTGGGGTGCTGGAATGGAGAGTATCCAACTCTGGGCTTGCTCTGTGATTATGCAGTCGACGTCAACGTCGTGCTGCCATCGTCGTCGTCGTCGTCGTCACAGTCGATTTGTTGTCAAACTGGTTTTACAAATATTTTGCGTTAATCTGGAAGCCCCACTGATGAGGAGGGCTCGACGAGAGAGGGGGGTGGTGGTGGTGGTGGAGCTGCAGTTACATTGCAGCAAAGCTCAGTGAAAGTCAGTTGAATGCTGCGCTCTCCCCTCCCGCCAACCCCCAGCCAGTGACTGTCTGCCTTCTACCTTTTCTCTCTGTCTCTCCAGCAGCGCGCTCATTCCAGCTAGTTAGCTGAGTGCACACATCCCCCTCTCTCTCTCTCTGTCGCTCCTTCCAGCTAGTTAGCTCAGTGCACATTCAATTAGATTTAGCTCTGGCTTCAGTTTTAGCTTTCGGTTTAGCCGTAGCTTTGGCTTTGCCTTCCCCTCCGGCTCATTCATGGCGCTCCTCGGTATTTACAGCCAATTATGAGACAAACAAGTTGAGAGCGCTGCCCCGGTTAGAGATGGCAGCGTGATCACAATCAACCGCAATCACGGTATTCTTCCCTAGCCATTAGTAATCACCGGCATGGTCTCAGCCGCTCAGGATTCATCCACGACTTTCAATTTCCATGATCATTGTCGGAATTCATTCATTCCATGCCAGCTTTCAATAGATTATCACGGATTAGTGCAGGCTTACCTGTGCATTGAAATCGAATAGGTGTTCCGGTCGCAGCGGACAAGGTAGACCGCACTTGCAGGTACCCTGTGTCAGCAGATAGTCCTTGATTTGGAATTGCGTGCGAAGCGTTTTTCCCGTGGGACTGCAATAGAGGAATATACATACATATGATAAGAGATGAGATGGCAAGATACAGGAGGAGTAGGAGAGTGCTCTACATTTACAAGTACATTATATTCCAAGTATTCCATTATTCACTATTTAAACGCACAATTAGTTTTATGGAAATCATGCAATTACCCCAAGGTTACCCTCTGTGCCACCTCTACCATAACAAAACCCACCCCCTCCCCCTCGGGGGTGCAATTAGCCGCACTAACTAACAGAACAGACAGCAGAGAGGCAGCGGGGCCCAAGCAAAGGCCAACAACAACAGCAACAACAGCAACAGGGTAATGAGCGAGTGTTTGATTAACAGCTCATTAACATAATGGACATTAACATGACAATGTAAGGTGACTCTCTGGTCTGCTCTCTGTTCCTCTTCTCTCTCTCTCTCGCATAAATTAATACCAATCAGAATTGCTCGCTCGATGTCTGTCTGTCTGTCGAATAAGTGCGACTTGATCGGAGCATAATTCAAACTGGTTTTGTTGTTTTCATTTTATGGTTAATTTATGAGAATTTTTGGTTAACGTTGCAGGGCTCCCACGTGTTGTGTTGAGGAATTGCGTGACGAGATAGGGTTAAAATTCACATGAGAGGCAGTCTTACAGGGTTTTCCCCTCATCTAGGCCCTCCTCGAAACTCCCCTTTGAAGTCCCATCCCTTAATCCCCATTTCCATCCAAAAGTGGTTTCACTCTCCTTCGACATGGTTCCCAGAGGTTCCCATTTGGCTTTTGTTTTCAATATGCGCATCTTTAAGAACATAAATACAAAATGTGATACAGATACAATTTGGCATACAATCTTAACAATGAAAAGGAACATATTCTCCCCTCTTTATACCAGAGCAGAGCACACTCCCTAAATGAAACGAAGCGAACAAAGGAGAACAGAAGTCCGCACCTCATTCAAAACAACAAAAATACAACGAGTACAACTACGTCATCCATTCCGTTTCCACAAAACGCGCCTATGCGCCATTAAAAAATTATGAGAAGGCAAAAAAATTGATTTAAAATTTTTGAAATTTAAATACCGACAAAAACAGAAGAAAAAAACCCCAAATGAATCCAGTTGTAAGGCTTGCGAAGGGGTCAAAGGGAAGGAGAGGATCGGAGAGGCCTTGGCCAGGGCCAGTCCAGGTCCAGGGCGGTTTTTCCTTTCTCAATTTTGGTTACCCTTTCCACTTATCGGGTGCCCCCTGCTCCTCTTCCCTCCTACTCTGTGGGCCACGCATGACCGCAAATCTGCCGACATAAATGGGTTGTCGCATGTGCGCTGCCAGGGTTTGCAAAAAATAAAGCACAAAAAAACCAGAAAGGAAGGAACGTTTGCTCTAACGAAGCTGTGGATACCCTTTGGGATTCAATTATGATGAAATTATGAAGAGTATGTGTTGAATCTGAGAAAAAATAATATCAAGAACCTACGTGAGTAGTGCACTGCACTTATAAGTCATAAGAAAATCCTTGTAGCTCTAGGAAAAAAAAAAAATAAATTTAAAAAATGTTCCAGCGTTTATTGTGCATTTCCCATGCATTTCTTGATTTTTGCGTCATCATTCGATCTATCAAGTGTGGCCCAGTTGTACCAAAATACCTTTAATTAAACCTACTGATTATGCTTTATTCAGTATGAAAAGATTCCTTTAATAGCCAGAAAGCATAAGGAATCAGTTGAAACGTTTTTGGGGAGGCACACATGATAAAGCCTATAAGATCTGTGTGATCAGTAGGACGTGGCTAATATGATTTGGCTATAAATAATATATTAACTCTCTAGGAGGTCTAACATTTCTGCATTGCAAACATTTGTCCAAGCTCATATTACCCATTAAAAGGGTATAACAAAAAAAAAACCAGAATAAAGAAGGCAAAAAACAAGAGAGAGAGAGAGAGAAAGAGACGAGGGGAAAAAACGGAGCTGCTTATTAATTGTAAAGTGTGAGCACGTTGAAGGAATCAAGGGCGCTGATGATGACGCCGTTCGAGGAGTATCGGAGTCGGAGTCATGGCGTGGCACTCGAGAGACGACGACGACTGATGCCAGGGCTCAAGTTTTGTTGCTGGGCTTACAGCACTCATACCCCTGTTACCCATACCCATACCCCCCTCCTTACCCATACCCCATACTGGAACCCATTCTCTCGAACTTCAGTATTCGTATTCGTATGGGAAATCTGAATAATGCATGAAGTGTGAAAGCGGCAAGGGCATTAAATGAAACGACAACGACGACAGCAGCAGGAGCAAAACAGCAGCAACAGGAGCTGGGGGTAGCAGTAGCAGCAGCAGCAGCAGCAGCAGCAGAAGAAGAGACTACAACAACAACAATATAATTGAGCGACAGCAACATTCAACAACCAGAATCGTGTTACGGGTTAAACGAGTATGCGAATTGTCAATTGAGTGGCCCTTTTAGCCCGTCCTTTTGGCAGAACAGAAGAAGATCCGATTGCGATCCATACAGCATACAGCATACAGCAGGAGCTGCAGTTCTTCCCAAGCCTCAATCGAATGGAACCCCACATGACATACCAGAGCCCTCATCATCTTCATCAATGGCTGCAGCAGAAGCAACAGCAGCAACAACAAACGAAACTGGTTTCTGGTTTGTTTTATTAATTATTTTTAACTACTTAGCAGAAAGAGAGAGAGAGGGGAAGAGAGGGGGCCCCATGGTTCGTTCCAAGATTGGAAAAATCGATGGCAAGTCGATTGCCAGGCGGCACGAAGGAGCAGCACCGAGCATCGAGCACCGAGCACCGAAGGGAATCATCATCAACGCCAGCAAAGCTTATGGCTCAATTTGTATGCAGCTGGCGTTGTGGCAAGAGGCAGCTTAAGAGGCAGCAGAAGCAGCAGCAGCAGCAGTCTCAGTCTCAGCCTTAGCCGATTACTAGCCGCAGGAGGTGGCAGAAGAGCTCGACTAGCTCATTAAATTTGATTCCCTGCCTCACTCTGGGGAACTCTTTTACTCTTTCTTTCTTTGCTGAAAATGCGCTAATAACCCCCGCTCCCACTCTCTGTCTCTCTCTCTTTAACCACATAAAAGGCGTCGCGTTAACGAGTTAAAATAATTTAATAAATTACACACAAAACGCCAAGTGCCAAAGTCGAGTGGCCAGCCAGCGCCCACTCCCTGTGTCTCTACTTTAAGGCTCATCGTCTGGGGTCTGGCATGGCGTTGGGCAACTGTGTGAAAAGGTGGAAAAGCTTTACGCCCTGTGTGACCTTGAGTGCACCCTCGAGCCACGAAAAACAGACGACGCCGACTGCTGCAGACAGAGCGAGAGCAGAGCAGAGCCTATTACTAAATTAATAATCCCATACCAAAAACACAGCAAAAACAGCCACAACTGAGACCTGAGACCTGCGACTTGGCCCAGAGGCGGCGCATGAAACTGTAAAAAATTATGGCACAAAGGCAGTGACAGGAGCGGCGGGATGGACAGACAAGGACACGGGATAGACACACAGGCAATTCCATCCAATCCTTTCACAAGAGTTTATTTGTTGTCTTTGTTGGGCCATGTCCTTGACAGAAGATAAGCAAAAAAGAATGCCAGACTCGGCGGGAACCACCGAAAGGACCCTTGTATCCAGCAATGAAAAAACAAAAGCAGTTCTTTAGAAACAGATTGCCGCTGGTTTTATAACGGAAAGATGCAAAAATCTGTAATATATTTTAGCTAAGAGGATGATAAACCGTTCAGAAAAAATCCAAAGTTGATATCTGTATAGTTTTCGGTGGGATTTCCCTCAATTCTCTCCATTTGAGAGGTTCCTTTTTGTTTTTTCTTATCCAAGTTTGAGTCATGGCCAACGCTTTATTTATGAAATAAGTCAGAACCTTGTGCTTTCCCTCGGGCACCACTTTTCTCACAAGATTGCCAGCGACAAATTTGTGTGGTGGGCGTTGACCAATGTCAAACCAGCAAAGCAAAGCAAAGCGAAGCAGCCGGCGGATGGATTCGCAACAAATGCCTAAAAGTAAGTAAAATAAACAAATTTCAAAGGCCCCTGAGTGTCTTACTGTCTGACTGTCTGACTGTCTGTCTTTCTGGCTGTTTGAATGACTGACAATGCAGGCAGCGGAGTGGGAGGCCAACTGCTGATGCAACCTACGCAGAAAGACGACGCGCTGCTGAAAGGCCGAGAGGGGCAGACAAAGAGGTTTGGTTCGGGTCGGGTCGACAGGCGGCAGTTAGAGGTATCTATGTACCTCTTGGTAGGGTGCTGCGCGGTGTAACGAAAATAGGAAAACTGTTTGCTGACTTGCTGCCTCTCTCCTCTTCTCAGTTGACTGGCAAACTATTCCGCATTCTTTTGCCAGACGCCTAGCGGGGTGCTGTGCTCCGTGCTCGAACCTCGATCTCCAGCTGCCGTTTCCGATTTATGATTTATAAACGTATGAATGTACGCGTATTATGTGCGACGACGACCCAGGGCACAGTGGGCGGCCTCCTGCTTTTGACTTTGACCTGGTCACAGCCAGTTAGCACTTGAGCAAACATTCAAATGCTTGCCCTGCCCAGCAATTATTGATTTAGTGGACAAATCGGCCCTCCCTGTCTCCGTCAATGCCACAACACATTCCGCTGCAACATTCTTGACATGAAATACTACTGAAGCAAAAACTAAACACGGGGCACGGGCACGGGGCACTGGGCACAAGGCCAGGACGAGGACGGGGACGGAAGCTCAACAAAAACGTGGTATTCATGTACCTCCGCCCCTGTTCTTCCAGCTGGTTATCTTTTTCGCAAAAAAAAGAGAAAAGCAAACTCAAAAATTTGCAAGGGGGATAGTTTCGCGGCGGACAGCACAGCACACAAAACTTTTGAGGCAAACAGCAGCAAATTCAGGAACCTAGCAACACGCAACGTGGAAATGAACAGCAGCTGCCAAGCCAAGCCAAGGGCCAGTGGCAGTGCCAGTGCCAGTGGCTGGGTCTGGGGTGGACAATGACAACGCTTGACACACGATGTCATGTCGTCGCAATGGCACCAAGTAAATACCGAGTGCATGGCCAGCGGGCCATGAAAGGCGGCAGCCACGACGACAGCCCAGCGGTGCCGTCAAAGAGTGTCCTGGCAGGGTAATGGCCCAGTGAATACATTTAACTACAGCTCAAGAAGGAGTTGTCTGGCTTTGATAGCTATAGTCGAAACTTTAAATATCCCTGCTGGGGCAGATGATTCTTATGTGATGCCGTTGGAAATCCCTTGATTTTACATTTTATTATGGATTTTCACAGAGTTTTATTGACTAAAGATAAAAGGTTTTTATTTCGTTTTGTCTTAAACTCAAATGAAAACTATTTTACGCGGCATTTAGAATTTGAGGAAACCTTTTCCCCATACACCCATTTAAATGTGAAGGTAACCCCAGAGGCTTTGCTTAACCTCTGGTCAGAAATAAAACACACTCTTTGGCGAAGACTTTAGAGCATGGTGGCAAGGTGCCAAATCCACAAGTAAATGGACTGCAGAGGATTAGCTGTGGCTTCTGGAGACCGTTTGTCGGGGACAGACAGAAAGCTTTCAGGCGGTAGGTGAAGAGAGTTATAAAGCATAATACGTAATAATAATGATTGCCGGGCATAATGAAAACCTCTCCAAAGCACAAACAAACAGAGAAACATGACAGAACGAATGAAAGAAAGACTCGTGTGTGTGTGTGTGTGTGTGTGTGTGTTCGTGCTCCACAGGAGTTTTCAACCATAATCTGTGGGGAGGTGCTGCTGCTGCTGTTGCTCCAGGCATGCGATGGTTGGCCTAAACCAACAGATGAATTCCCCCCAGTTCGCACACTTTTCACTCCACCACTCACCACTCGCACAACAGCTGCGCGACGAAACTATCCCGTAGAACAAAACAGAACAGAACACGGACCTAAAAACCAAAACCGAGCCCAGAGTCAAGCCACTCGAGAAGTGCCAGAGCCACTTATAAAATCAACAATTACCCAACAACATCAGGGCCCCAGTGCCCAGGGTCTCTGTTTGCTCTCAAGCCCGAAAAAAAAAAGCTAAAGACCTTCAGGCTATCAAAAGTTTCGTAGTCGCTGAGAGGATTGGGTTGGGGGATATATCCATCTCCGCATGTACTCGTACTCTCGTACTTTTCAACATATCTGTGTGTAAATATTTGATTTGGGTTTGTAATTATGTGTGTGCTTGATGATAATGCCGCCTGATAATTCCAGGTAAACATTTGCCTGAGCATTGCCTTGTGGGGGCTGCTGCTGCTGGTTGCAAAAACATCGACTGACATCGACTACTGCAACACAAACCTTTTTCATTCCATTTCCATCCCCTCCCCCCACCTTTTTGGACAGTAGCATTTCCTGTACGAATAGTACATACATTTTTATGGTTTCTCGAATGCGTTTCGACGCCAGACAATAACCAGATTGACTTTTAGCCGGTCGGTGGTGCTGTAAATGTCATGTAACTACCACACAACCAGCCACGACGAGTGGCAGAGTGGCAGGAAGAGACACGACACTACACCACACTCTTGTAGCTTCATTCTCCCCATTCGGTTTGTGGGAATTCTGTGTAGAGGGGGTGGACGACTCACCTGATGTAGGCCACTTCATTGTTGCTGGTTAAACGACGCCAGCCTGGAGCCAAATTTCCATTGTAGCTGACATTTTTCCTGTTCATGTTGCTGCTGTTGCTGCTGTTGCTGCTGCTGCTGTTGTTGGTTTTGTTGGCAACATTCTTGGCATAGAGCTGATTGTTCTGACTCATTTGACGCGAGGCAAGTATTGTTGCAGCAGTAGCACTAGTTGCAACAGTTGCCGCTGTCGTTGTTGCTGCTGTTGCTGCTGCTGCAACAATTGCTGTTGTCTTTACTGGCAACTTTATTTGTGCCTGGCGCAGTTTCGTTTGCTGTTGCTGCTGATGTTGGAGGAGTAGTTGGGGACTGCTTGTTGGACAGACAAATATATGCTGCTGACTGTTGCGCTGCTGCTGTTGCAGTTGCTGCTGCTGATGCAGATTTGTTGCTTGCATCATGTTGCCATTTCCATTGCCATTTACCAAACCAGCTGGTAATATGTGTTGCATCTGCTGCTGCTGCTGCTGTTGTTGCTGTTGCATTGCTGCATTTGTAACGACCCGCGATACAAATTTTGTCTGTTGCTGCTGGAAAAACTGATGATGTTGTTGCTGCGGCTGCTGCTGATGCAGTGGCAACATTTGCTGATGTTGCTTAAACATGTGGATCTGTTGATGCTGTTGCTGCTGCTGTTGTTGTTGCTGCTGCTGTTGGAGGTGCATCTCACTTGCAACTGTCTCAGCACTACCGATCATATTCAATTTGTGCTGATGCTGCTGCTGCTGGTGCTGCTGCTGTTGTCCAGCGGATGTGGCAGCCATGATGCTAACAGTAGCCGTCTAAAAGCTACTCCTCCGATTTAGGGCCTGCAAAATAAAAAGGGTTTCAAAGAGATTTGATTATTAGAGGCCATGAGCTTTGATTGATTCCTAAGACTTTGTTTACAATCCCAACCTCTTCTGATGTTTATGTTGATAAAATCTTGTACAAATTTTTTTCTTGAAGGATAACTTAATAGGAATTTTCATAGTGTACTCGGAAATAAATTTTCTTTTTGGAAGCTTTGGAAAAGCCCATTCATATAGGGTTTCTCAGTGACCCTGACTCGCCGGCCTCGTATTAAATTGCGTTTTAGCATTAGCTTTGCATTGATTTCCTCTACTATTCTATTGTGTATGTGTGAAAATTACAGGGCGACAATCTGCACGTTTATACGATGCGTAAATAATGAAGAAGCCAATTGGCCGTTTTGTAGCTGTAAACCTGAGACGAGATGATTGGTTTATGCGTTTACTATGCTCTCTGCGCACGCATGGACGGACGCACGCACCCGTCTCACACCTCACACATTGCAATAAACTGACGCGCATAAACATGGGCAATCAGCTGCCGCCGCACCTCTGCCTCTACCTATTTATACATACATACATATGTACATGTACTCGCGCGTATTTCTGCTATCTGCTCACCTTTTAGCGTAGTTTTCGTTTTGCTCATTTGCCAGCATATTAAATTAATTTTGAGTTATTGTGTAAACGAGACGCGGCCGACATGTTCATGTTTTATTTAGTATTTGTTGTTGCTGTTGTTTTTTTAAAAGCACTTAATTTCACTTTTTTGTTGTTGTTGTTGTTGTAGGTTGGTAGTATTATTTGGTATTCAATTTTGTTGTTGTATTTCTTGGCTGTAATAATGCGACAACGACTTTTGTATTTTTGCCCTGGGGCCACTTCTGCCTTTTTGCCTCAGCTGCTGCGCTGTTTTTTGTTGTTGTTGTTGTTGGTGCTGTTGTTGTTGCTTTTTATACAATCTGCTCTGCTCATGACTTCATTTGGAATTCAGAAAACGAACGTCGCGGCGCAGTCAACGGCAGCAAAGAGCAAAGAGCAGAGCGAACAACGCGTAAAAGTAGGTGAATGGAGCATGAAGACGCACACCAGGCCAGGCACAACCAGAGAGGGGAGTTGGGGGGATGGTATGGTTAATGGAAAGGGTGAGATGTTGATGGAGTGGGGGGTGGGCAGACCACAACGATTCACCCGCCACACACACACACACACTCTCACTTTGTATGGTTTTTTTTTTGTTTCAGAATAAATTGCAGGGTCTCATATGTAAGTAAGTATTTTTGGTGTGTATTAAATACCGAAATTAAAACAAGGCATTTTTTTTTAAATTAATGCGTATCTATTTGTGTGGACACCACCTGCCCTCGGGTTATGCTCCAACGATCAGCAGTCAACCAGAGACAAACAACGAAAAGCAACAACAAAGCAGGGAGGGGAGTCGCTGTGGCAGAAGCAGAAGCAGCAGCTGTTTGCCTTGGGCAGTGGGATGAAAACGAATTGGTGGTGTAGCCGTTGGCTAGCAAAGCGATTTGCCTGTGCTTGTTGTTGGCATTAGTATTGGGCAATCGCGCACAAACACACACACACAGACGCGCACGCACTACTACACACAGATACAATCATAAAGCGGAGGGAAAACGCGTGCCTATGCTGCGGTTTACTGCTGTTATAATATGTACAAAGTGACCTCAATACGCATTACACTGCACAACACACACACATACTTTATTTGGCAGCTGCATTTCGCTCCCAAAACTTTATTAGGCACAGAGTCGCGAGTCGCGTCGCAGTCCGATTACACCAAATAGCAATTAAATATGAATTAATTACAACAATTTTGTGTCGCTTGCTTTCTGAGCTCTCTCGCTCGCTCCCTCGCTTGCCTCCCTCTCTTGCGCACACGAATAATTTTTTTTTCTCAGCTCCAACTGAATTTTGTTACACTTTTTGTTTTATTTTTGTATTTGGCACCCACCTAATTGCACTATTTATTCATCCTCTGTGCATGGACACATTTTTTTGGTAATATTTTTTGATGACCTTCTTGTCGATTGAGCTGGCCAAAATTCCATGCACTTGGGATATTGATATTTCGAATATGGATATTGCTTGATAGCAGTGGAACGCAACTACTTTTCTGAATTTATGAAAAATCCGACATTATTTTTTATTGGCGAATATCAACGGAATTTTCTGAATTCAGAAAAAAATTCGACGATGTTGCGTTGTTTACGTCCGCGGCTGCGAACTTTTGCAATGCAGTGTGACCGCGGATTTATGGAAAAAATATACCCCTCTCTGACTCACAGAAATATTCCGAAATATACCGTAAATATACGAAATTTCTTTGCAGTGTGACCGCGCATTTGTCCTACAAATATACCGTCCGACTCTCGGAAATATACCGTAATATACCAAACACAATAGCAAGAAATATATATTTGAAATATATATGCTAATATATCATTTAATTTAAATAAAGTTTTACTTATTATCTATTTTATATGAGATGTCAGAGGAGAATTTCTATAATTATCGATTTGAATGTAGATGTAGGAAGTCATGTATCAAAGGTACATGTAGATGTCGGCGATTACATTCTTAGATCCCGATTGACGATATAATAACGGACTATCATTTTTAAATAAATTGGTGAATTTGTAAAAAATTATGAAATATTAAAAAATATCTGGAAGCGAACTAAAAACAGATAAGATATGGATATATAGTCATAAGATACTTAACAGATCTGTGAGTATCGCTCATGGCTGGACTATTTGATAGTAAATTCCGAATTACGCTAATTACTGCGACTTTTTTAGATATTTATAGAATGAACTAATTGTCAGTAGGAATTGGAGGCACGAAACGATTTTGCAAACGAGCTGAGAGTCAAGCTATAAACGGTCAACTTCCTCCTCCGCTCACTCCCACTCCCCTATCAAATCCTGCCCGGGGTCCATACGAGTGCCATGCTCATTCAGTTTTTATTTCGCTGCTGCCTGTGAATCATGAATCATCATTCTATAATTTTTTTTTATTTTGATTTTTTTAATATACTGAGTGTTTGATAAGGTAGCTTGGTATATTTTCTTTTTTTTCGTACGGTATTACTAAAAACGCGCGCGTTGGGTGCTAGGGCTGCAAAAACAAAACCATCGATTTTATCGATAGTGTTACCGATTGTTACGCAGCTCTAGGCGCGTTGTTGCCGGCTTGTTATTGCGATTTCTTGCGAATTTTAAATTAAAGTAAAGATAGTAAAGATATTGATGAAAGCGTTGCAATGTCCCACCTCTCAACGATCAATGCCTGCAAGCTACTGCTGTTCCGACGATGTCTGCAGGCCGTACTGCTGACCGTGGGCATCCAGTTCCTGCTGCTGACCATCTTCCTGCTTCTCGTTAACTTTGAATTGCTGCGGCCGCTCCACTGGATCGCTAGCACGCTGAGTCTGGTGTGCAGTTTCTACACCTGGTTCGCCAGCATACCACTCGTCGGAGCTGTTGTCCTATATGGCGTGATTCTGTGCCAGCAACACCTGGCCGAGAGACCGTATTGTCCCAGCCGGTTCCGCTGGCTGGTGCGCTATGGACCCCGCAAGCTACTCTTCCTGGCCGCACATCTGCTCGTTGGCTACCTTACGGCGTGGCTGTACACGGGTTACATGCACACGGGCTATCGGTGGGTACAAATGTTCCCAGGATCAACTCAAATTCTAATCATATTCTGTTTCTGTTTATTCCTCAGGCATCTGTGGTACAAGTGCTATGGCCAGGAGTGCATAAGCGCCTACCACGTGTACCTGCTGGGCATGGGCATCTTCGCGGGCTGCTACAACTTCGTCTCTGTGCACATGCGTCAGGAGGTTGAAATCGAGTTTCCCATAGTGAATCATTTTTGGGGCGAGAAGTCGCGCGAGTTGCTCTACAGCAGTCTGGCCCGATCTTTGATCAAGTCCCTCGTGCCCACGCTGGCGTACACCCTGCTATTTTGGCTGTTCGGTCGTGTGGTGTGCCACAGGCTGAGCCACGTCTTTGCCGTGGACTTGGATGAGCGTCTGGAGGGCTTCTTTGGCGTGGCCACCAATGTCCGGCTGCTCTTCTACGGCTGGCTACTCTCTGCCCAAATTCTTAGCAATATGCATCTCATGCGCTGCTTTTACAGCATGTTTCTGTCCGAGGAGTTTCCCCTGGCAGTGACCAAAAATCGGGCTGCGTTCGTCCAGGAGAAGGAGGTGACCGTGGTGGCCGCCCTGGGCTTGTCCAACGTATACGTGGTCCAGTGCCTGGCTGCCAAATATCTGTACAATCTGGTCACAACCGGCGACTCGGCGGAACGATCGGAACTGTTCCAGCTAACCGAGCCGGGTAATCGTCCGGCCAATTGGCGTTCCCTCTGCGACCAATGCCTCAGCCTGATCGGAAGCTTCACCGACGAACTAATCGACTCCATGCAGAAGATAAGTGTGCTCAAAGGTTCGCCAAGTAGTCCTCCGATAGCGCCGATCAGCGAGAGCGCCAGTGCCAGTCTAATGGCTGAAAGGGTGCTCACACGCCAATACAACCAGATGCACGGCATTCGTCCCATGGTCTCGCCGGGGCGCAATACTCTCATAGATCGACCCGTGGACAGCATACGACGCGTTCCCAATTGGTGTGAACGCGCCTCCATGCAGATGGAACAGTCTCTCCAGCTACTGATCAACCGTATTCCCGGCATTGTCTATCTGTTCACCGAGCCCGAGGGGGCCAAGACCACGTTCTTGTTGACCAATTCGCTGGCTTTGGTGTACGTAATCCAGGCTCTGTCCCAGATATGCGTGCTCTCGCTCAAGGAGGATCGCTTTGGTGTGGTGCAGACCGACCTGTCGGACATCATAAAGTCGATGAGTCGCCTCAAGGGCGAGCTGGACAAGTTGAGCAGCGTGGCGAGCAACCTGCGGGGTCCGGGCTCCAGCTTCAGCGTGCTGCGCGGTGCTGTGCGTCGCAGTCTCTTTCACATTTGCATCTCCTTCGGCGACTACATCAACGAGCTGATACCCTCTGGAGAGGAGAGGCGTCAGCTCCAGACACTGATCAATCAGGAGTAGCCCTGTACTCCTGCTACTCATCCCTCCCCACCCACTCGCAATGATTCACACACATTTTGTCAACTGTTTTGCATCTCTCTTTAGTTTTGCTTGGTAACAATAAAAATTAATAAATACAACTACAAATGTACAATTGTTATGTATGTACATCGATTGACTTTATGCTTATAAAGTACGTAATGGTAACACGCGATTTGATCATGGCTAGCATCTTGAGTGGAAGGCTCTGACTGGCTGCAGGATGAATGTGTGGGTGTGTGCAAACAAAGGGAGCAGCTTCCTCTACTGCTCCAGGGCCAAGGCATACATGAGCAGGGACAGCTCCTGCTCCAGTTGTTGCTGATGTCATTGCTCGACTCTCGCCGGCGGTGCAGCGGCCACAACGCTGACGCTGGCTGCCTCGCCCAGTGATTGCTCCAGCTGCTCGGCTACTTCATCAATGTGCTTGAGGGCCACCTGGGCCTTTCGGTTGCGACCATCCACATAGATTTGGGTTTCCAGGAAGTTCAGAGCCCTAAATGCCATGCCCCCCGCGGGGTCATAGACACCCTCGTACTTCTTGGGATTCCTCGCACTGGCACTCTGATCCGGTGTGCTCGGATCAAAGGGCACGTACTCCTGCAGGCGCTCTTTGCTCCATCGGAAGATATTACGTGAATCTAAGTCCGCCAGAACCCTCGTCATTTCGCGGATTTGTGCATCCTGTCGCTCCAGCCGAAAGTTAATTTCCGTCAGCGTATTGGTCATCTGCATCTTCTCCATTTGGATCTCCTCGGTCTTCTTGGTCTCCTTAATGGATTGGCTACAACAGAGAAGAGCCTATGGAACTACACAATGAATACAAACGGAAACGCCAGCTACCTACCGCGAGTACTCAAATATCAGCAGACCGGCGCCGATGGTGAAAATGATGAACTCGCCCAGCAGATTGGCACCCAGCTCGATGGCCATGGCCTCGTTCAGCGGCGGAACATTGACACTGCGCCCACCCATGTTCAGGGCCCACATCTTGGTCTTCACCTCCACCCAATTGTAGACTGAAAACCGAAATTGGAGGGGCTTTACTCAAATCTAATCATATGTGATATGGGGTCATCCACCGACTTACACTGGGCCGGCGGCATGCAGATGTACTTCCTGAAGAAGGGGCTGGACTTGGCATTCGACTTCAGCACATTGGCAATGGGTTTGCTGATCTGCTTGATGGCCAAAACTCCAAGTTTGGCCGCCGGAAAGACGCCAATAACCATTGTATTTCGCTTTGGCCACAAAAAAAACTATTACAAAATATTCACTATTCGGCTGCACATCTGTTCAGTGTGACCGCGGAAGACTTATCGACAAAGTATACCGTCTGACCCTCAAAAATATACCCAAATATACCGTCCCTTTTACATAATATACCGTAAATATACCGAGGAAATTCCTATTCATCAATTTTGATATTCGATTTAATATTACTAGATAGTTAGGACTTTAACAACTAAAAATATTATTTTATCAAATAGACGAATCAATTTTCTACAATCTGGCTTATTTTAAGGACTCCTTATATACCCAACTATTGATAACTATGTTCTTTACTATATACCTTTAAAAATGATACATAAAAGATTGATGAAATTGATTAAATGTACCGTTAGTGAGAGACGTTGTCCAGTGCCGTCTTCATACTGCGGATTTCCTTTTCGTTTCGATCTATACTTGTGTCCAGGCTTCCGATCCTTTGCTCCAACATCATCCTCTGCTCTCTGTGCCTGATGTGCTTCTTTTCGTCCTTCAGCCTTTGCCTAGCTCAGTAGATATTAGATAAATACTTGCAGGACGAGACGACCATTGCTTACCGTGTAACCTCGTAATACAGAAGGAACACTCCAATGCTCGTCACAATAACCTCGCCCAGCAAATCTGCACCGATTCGCGTTGCCATGGCGGGTGTTAGACGCGGCACTCGCCTCGGCTGCTTCAGTTTTAGAAAATGCAATTGCAAGCGAACCTCCAAGTTGTTGTACAACTGTCCCGGTGGAATGCAAACGATCCGTCTGAAGACGGGATGGTGTTTGGCATAGCTCTTCAGTAAATTGCTAACGGGCTTGCTAATTTGCTTCATGGTAAAAATGAAGACCTTGCCAAGGGGAAACGTACCAATTACCATTTTGAACACTGAAAATTTGGGACATAATTTTGAACAATTTGCCTTTCGTAGCCTACTACTATCGATCAGATCCTATTTGTTTGATTTTCGCTTTGAGATGAACAATTTCCCTGTCTTGGCGCGCAATGCGCTCATTCAGTTGAACGATTCGGTTATTTAGCTCCTCCCTTTTCTGCTTGTGCCTTTCATGTTTCTTTTCGCCGTTTCGCGCTTGCCTAAGGAAGGACATTTTTAAAGTTCTAGTCTGTACTCTCTCCGGAGCAGTAAAAACCTTGCAAACTCGTTCAGTATGAAGGAAACACCGATCAGAAATATGAAAAGCTCGCCCAGAATATCGCCACCCATTTTAATGGACATGGCACGGGTCAGGGGCGGAACCCGCTTCGGCTGTCCTAAGCCCAGCATCCACATCTTGGAGCGAACGTCGATCGTGTTGTACACTGGGAAGGCATAAAATAATTGTACATCAATTCTCCACACACGGTCTACTCACAAGTGGCTGGCGGTGCAACTACATAGATTCTAAATACATTATTCTTGTTAGCATAGCGCTTAATTACATTGCTAACCGGCTTACTGATGTGCTTCACGCACAAGAGGCCGAGTTTTGCTATTGGGAATGCGCCCACAACCATTTCTCATTCCGAAATTTTGACTAAATAAACTAAACATACTTGACGGCAGAAGCTTAAATTTCAAAACCAACGTCTCATATATACTAGATGTGCTGGTATTTTTCCAGACAGTTTCAGGGCTGCTGCAACAGCTCGGCTGGAAAGTCCCGATAACATGTACGGTTACCAGGGCTGCTACAACTGGAAAAGCTCAGTAAAATATCTGGCGCCGGTCTCGCGAAACGAGAAGGCCCCAACATTCGCGATTGAAACCCCAACGAGAAGCGCGTTTTGTGTATTCGTAGCCTGTGCATTTAAGTAAATTGAATCAATTCCAAAACAGGAAGAGCAAATACATATTTCCATAAGCTCTTAGTTTTCTCTTGTCTAATCAGGTAAATATCGAAGTGCTGCAGCTCCGCTTCAGTAATTTACTTTCACTGCTGTAACAGTATTCAATGCTCCATTTGCATTTTGGCGAAAAATTAGCGGGTTTTTGCAAAGATTTATTGTTGTTGTTGTTGATGATGCAAGCTGTTTCTCCATATTATGTGGAACACCAACACAAAGATAAACGCGATCCGCACAGTCGCGTCCGCGACATAGTGTCAGCCGGCAGAATAATATGTAAAGGTGAAATAGAAGTCATTCCATACAAAGCACGCACACAGCGAAAGGCCCATGACAACACATACAGTGAAACACGCCATCAGGAAATGCAGCAATAATCTTGAAGCTGTCTACTTATTGTAAAACTTCCATCGATCAGTCTTATCGGTAATTTATTGTACTTTTCCATACATGTGTGTGTGTGTGTGTACAAATATATGTACATATGTGCCATCTATGACGTTCGGAGTGGACCAGAGATGAGTAATTTACATACATACAAATTGCTGAAATGCCGGTTTTATACAGTTTCTATGAGTTTGTTGCCATGGTGCCAACGAACGTCCTTTGCGGGGCAAGTTCAAGGGCAAATTAGTAGTTTGTGTGCTGGAAAAATGCTTTCACTTTCGTTTCAAATAACGTTTTCTTTCCCTGTGATGAAAGCTGTTCACTTAAAAGTAAAAGCTTTCATTACACGCGCAGAGAGCGTGCGACTCACGTGCACACATATGTATGTAGATATGAATATGCTCACGCACTTGCATAATGACCGATGAGAGAGAGAGAGAGAGAGGACTTTGATATTTTTGGATCTGTGGAGATTAATGATTCGATTTCAAGGTCAGTAGCAAACTGGGACATTTTGCAGCCGGCTGATAAGAGTTGAAACAGCTGATTTCGTTTTTTGTTTACACTTATACAAGCGAAATTAAATATATGTATGCATGTTTTGTTCATATACAAATTATTAAACACTCGAAGATTCGTTGAACCTTCTAGCCGGCTAACAACAAGAAAGACCGTAAACCTTTAAAGCTTTTCGCTCTCTCTTTATTGGGTTTAGATAAACTTTTACGAGCATTGTACCGTTTTGTTTCTCTCGCTGTTGGATTTTTAGGGTTGGTTGTTTGTGCCTGTTGCTCTTGCGAATTCGTTTGTCCTCGTGTTTTAGCGACATTTCCGAAGCTCAAAGCTGCTGCAGCCCGATAAATTTTCCACTAGGCCACAGAAAAAAAGTTCTCTGCTGCCGCATTCGAAAATTTTTCCTCGTCCTGAACAAAGCAGTCGGCGGCATACACAATTTTAGCCTTATTTCGGGTTGCTTCTGCTTTTGCTGTCTCCGTTTCTGCTGTGCGTGTGCCTGTGCCTGTGCCTGGGACTGCCTTTCGTGTTGCAAAATATTCCAACTGTCGTTTGTTCAATACTGCTGCTAACCAAGTAGGCAACAATATGGTGAACGTAACCATGTACGATGAGGCGCCCAAGCTCAAGGTATTTGAGAATTATATTACTCTTCCCCAGCCCAACGCCAACCAGTGTCAGTGTCAGGGGCGCGAGTGTTGTTACGTTTTTGGTCCATAAAGATACTATACAAAATTAGGCATTAGATGCATGTACACATAATCAGGCAACTGGCGGCGGCCCCGATATCAGTAGATTGCCAAGAACAGACGAAAATTAACGAATTATGCAACGGTTTCGTTGCGGCTGCAGCTGCAGCTGCGAAAATGTACGAGTAGTCGCCTCCCTCGTCTCGGTCTCGGTCGGCAGAACTGACCTTCGGCGATGCAGTGCCAGCGTCAGCGCCGATGCAAGAACGCTCTTCCGCCCACGGGCGGCGGCTATCTTGCGCACTCTCACGCTTTCACGCACCATTCACAGCACATCCATCCAGTTCAAAACGTCAGATATGACAGAGATATCAGAATTATCACTCATTAAGATGGGGGTGTTTCGGGTAACGAATGCCGATAGGGAATCGCGGGAACAGTCCTTGCATTTTAACTAATCCAATCCGTATCCGTGTGTCTTTTTCGTTCTTGCAGCCCAATCAAGTACCACAAGACATGGCAGCCGCAGCTGATACCCAACTGGAGCACATGTGCCGCCTGCAGTTCGACTCGCCCATTCCCCATGTGCGTCTGTCCGGCATCGTGTGCACCATCGGCCCGGCCTCGAGCAGCGTCGAGATGTTGGAGAAGATGATGGCCACCGGCATGAACATTGCCCGCATGAACTTCTCGCACGGCTCCCACGAGTATCACGCCCAGACGGTGGCCAATGTCCGCCAGGCGGTGAAGAACTACTCGGCCAAGCTCGGCTACGAGCATCCCGTGGCCATTGCGCTGGACACCAAGGGACCCGAGATCCGTACTGGTCTCATTGGTGGCAGCGGCACCGCCGAGATCGAGCTGAAGAAGGGCGAGACGATCAAGCTGTCCACCAACAAGGACTTCCTGGAGAAGGGCTCCCTGGAGGTGGTCTATGTGGACTACGAGAACATCGTGAAGGTTGTCAAGCCCGGCAACCACATCTTCGTCGATGACGGCCTCATCTCTTTGGTGGTGCGCGAGGTGACCAAGGATACGGTCGTCTGCGAGGTGGAGAACGGCGGCGCTCTGGGCTCCCGCAAGGGTGTGAATCTGCCCGGCGTGCCGGTGGATTTGCCCGCCGTGTCGGAGAAGGACAAGTCCGATCTGCAGTTTGGTGTGGAGCAGGATGTCGACATGGTCTTTGCCTCGTTCATCCGCAATGCCGCCGCTCTTGCTGAGATCCGCAAGGTGCTCGGCGAGAAGGGAAAGAACATCAAGATCATCTCGAAGATCGAGAACCAGCAGGGCATGCACAATCTGGATGAGATTATCGAGGCCGGAGACGGCATCATGGTGGCCCGTGGAGATTTGGGCATTGAGATCCCAGCCGAGAAGGTGTTCCTGGCCCAAAAGGCCATGATTGCCCGCTGCAACAAGGCCGGCAAGCCCGTGATCTGCGCCACCCAGATGCTGGAGTCCATGGTGAAGAAGCCCCGCCCCACTCGCGCTGAAATCTCTGATGTGGCCAATGCTGTGCTCGATGGCGCCGACTGCGTCATGTTGTCCGGCGAGACAGCCAAGGGAGAGTACCCCCTGGAGTGTGTCCTGACCATGGCCAAGACCTGCAAGGAGGCCGAAGCTGCTCTCTGGCATGCGAATCTGTTTGCCGATCTGGTGAAAGGCGTAGCCGTCTTGGATGCTGCTCATGCTACGGCCATAGCTGCCGTTGAGGCCGCCACCAAGGCTAAGGCTGCCGCCATTGTGGTGATCACCACCAGCGGAAAGTCTGCCTTCCAAGTGAGCAAGTACCGCCCACGCTGCCCCATCATTGCCGTTACCCGTAATCCCCAGACGGCCCGACAGTCCCACCTCTACCGTGGCCTGGTGCCCCTCATCTACAAGGGTAAGTGTATACATTCCTCATGTACCCTCTCACATGGTACTGATAATCATCTCTTTTTTTGTGCACAGAGCCAGCACAGAACGACTGGCTGAAGGATGTGGACCAGCGCGTCCAGTTCGGTGTACAGGTGGGCAAGAAGAACGGCTTCATCAAGACCGGTGACGCGGTCGTCGTTGTCACAGGCTGGAAGCAGGGCTCCGGCTTCACCAACACCATTCGCATTGTGTAAGTGTCCGCATTGAGATGCAGTGTAAACGAAGTCCCAACTAATCTCTAAATTCCGCTTGCAGTGCCGTTGAATAAATCTTGTCGCTGAGGAAGTACCTAGATGCGTCGCAGTAGCAGTAGCAGCAGCAGCAGCAGCAGCAGTAGCAGGCGTCGCATTGATTAATGTTAATAACCAAGTTAATTTATTAATTGCGTATATTGGAATATCGAAAACAGGAAAGGAAAGGAGGATAAGAACCGCAGTCAATGCGCCGCCGCAGGCCGCCGACACACAAATTTAATTTATCACTGTTGAATAATATAGAGTGTTCTTCAAAAGGAATAATAAATTTTAATCATGTATGTACGTGGATAATCGTGAAAGATATATACTACCCCTCCCTACCCCCATACCTTTTCGAAAGGCAGATAACCTTTTGCTTTTTGGATCAATTTCCATTCCGATCTTAACACAGATCGAACTACATTTTGTCATTATTTCAAAATTTCATCAACATTTCACTATTTGTGGGATTTCTAACGCGGAGAGCGGCGGCTTGCAGTGCGTCGCCTCCGTGTCAAACGCCTTGGTCTTCCACCAGTTCTTGCAGCTATGCGGGTAATGCTCAGAAGGTACGTTTAGCCACCTCCCCTCCCTTTGGGGATAATCTTACGGCTATTAATCTATTCCTCTGGCTGAACCAGGAAGCCACCGCACCAATGGTGCAACTGGACCGCGGGCCCTTTGCCACACAGTTGGAGTATCAGTCGCGACTGCAGTTCAATGCACCCTGCTCAGGGTTTCCACTGAGCGGCATCATATGCACCATTGGACCGGCCTCGAACAAGCCCGAGGTTCTGGTGGAGCTGATAAGGGCGGGTATGCGAGTCGTACGAATGAATTTCTCGCATGGCTCACACGAGTACCACTGCCAGACGATTCAGGCGGCGCGCAAGGCCATAGATATGTATGCCGAGCAGACGGGTGTCTTCAAGCCGGTGGCCATTGCTCTGGACACCAAGGGGCCGGAAATTCGAACGGGCAAACTGGCGGGCGGCGACACGGCGGAAATCGAACTGAAGCAGGGCGAATCCATCAAGCTGTCCACCAACAAAGACTTGGAGAAGAAGTGTACCAAGGAGCGGGTGTATGTGGACTACCAGAAGCTGCCGAGCATCATCAAGGCCGGCGATCGGGTCTTCATCGACGACGGACTGATCGCCCTGAAGGTTAAGCAGATCGCTAGCGATGAAGTGACCTGCGAGGTGGAGAACGGTGGCAAGCTCGGATCGCACAAGGGCGTCAATCTGCCAGGGGTGCCGGTGGATCTGCCAGCCGTCTCCGAGAAGGACAAGGCGGACTTGAAGTTCGGCGTGGAGCAGAAGGTGGATATGGTCTTTGCCTCCTTTATACGCGATGCCCAGGCACTGGCCGAGATACGCAGTGTCCTGGGGCCAGAGGGCGCGCACATAAAGATCATCTCCAAAATCGAGAACCAACAGGGCATGGCGAACATCGACGCTATCATCGCTGCCTCCGATGGCATAATGGTGGCTCGCGGAGACCTGGGCATCGAGATATCCACGGAAGAGGTGCCCCTGGCCCAGAAGGCAATCATAGCCAAGTGCAACCAGGTGGGAAAGCCCGCCATTTGCGCTACCCAAATGCTGGATTCGATGATTGGCAAGCCGAGACCCACGCGCGCCGAGGCATCAGATGTGGCCAATGCCATCTTCGATGGGGCCGATTGTGTGATGTTGTCGGGCGAAACAGCCAAGGGAAAGTACCCGGTCGAGTGCGTCAAGTGCATGGCGAAAATATGCTCCAAGGTGGAGGCGGTTCTGTGGTACGAGAGCATCCAGAACAACGTGAGGAGCGCCGTCCGGCTGGCGACAGCCAACCAAATATCGGCCGTGTCTATGACCATCGCTGAGGCAGCCACAACGGCCCATGCCAAGGCAATTATCGTAGCTAGTCCGTGCTCCATGATTCCACAGCTGGTTAGCCAGATGCGGGCCGTCTGCCCCATCGTGCTGCTCATCGGTTGCAAGTCCCAGGCTCGTCAGTCGTTGATCTTTCGCGGTGTTTATCCTCTCATCATTGATGAGATGGCCGCCGGTTGCACGGACTTTCGGCAAATCCTGCAGGCGGGCATCAAGCTCTTGCCGAAGCTGGAGATAATGAAGCCCGGAAAAAAGGAAACCGTCGTAATTGTAGACGCAATGAGGGCCGACAACGTCAGCTTTCGCCTGTTCTCCATTCGACAACAAACCAAAGCTGAGATGGAAAAACAGGCCGGCGAATGCAAACGAAAGTCTCCAAAAAAGTGCATTCGACTCCTTGCAGCTGAAAAAAAAGAGCAGGCTAAAATAAAGAGCAAAAAAAATGATGGTGGCGAATCAAAGAAGTAAACCAAAAATTTAAGCGTGCCGGGCTGTCGTGCTGCTTGCTTATTTTGGCGGTTAACAAAATTCAAAATAACATATTTTAAATTTGTATTAAACATAACTTGTGCAATACAATAATTGTATATAGCATGTAAACAAATTAGCTTTTCATTTATTATCCAAGTGAAATGCAAAGAAAAAGGTATTCAAATTGCAGTAAAAAATGTGTCGTGTGAAAGAATTTTCTCAGAAGTAAATCATATAAAAACTAACATAAGAAACAGATTTAAGAATACAAACATTTCAAATCTTTTTTAAATGATCTCCAATAAAGAAACAAATTTTTGTGGTTTTTATCGGTATATTAACGGTATATTTTGCAACTAAGACAGTATATTTCGGTATATTTTTGAGGGACTGACGGTATATTGGATGTATAAATCCGCGGTCACACTGATTGGGCGGCATGCTGATACGGATTGTGGGTGGTTGCAAAGTACCAATAAATACAATGCGCACGGGGGAGTTGCAGCCAATTGTGAAATATTTGCATCCCAGACAGGAAGTGTTCGCTTGCAGCGCGCCAGAGACTTGTAGAGCTGCAGAAACTTGTAGAGTGCCAGGAGGAGGAGGCTGACCTTGAAAGAGAATAAGTGAAAAGAAGCAATGGTTCTGCCGGGTACCAAAGCCACGACGGCGACAGGCTCGCACGCGGTCGTTCAGGCCCTCGAATTGTATATTCAAAATCAAAATTTGCAAGGAGATATTGCCGAATTGGATGACATGCTATACGACCTGGTGGACATGCACAAGGATAACGAGGTGGCCTTGAAAAAAGTGCTGCAGTGCATATATAATTTGATGCAGGCCAACACCAAGTGGAATGTCCGATTCGGCGCAAAGGTGTTTCACAAGCTTGTTGCGGTCGTGATTTGCGCCAACAGGGAGGATACAGCTGCCCGCCGTCAACTGGTGGCAAATGTGCTCGTTTGCGTGCAACAGCATCAGCGAAAGCTTCCCGGCACTGACGGCAAGTACCTGCTGGAGCAGCTTTGGTGTCTTAGCTTGAGCCGCGACCGTCAGCCATATGTGGCGCAAATTCTGCTCCACCTGTTTGATGACTTCTTTGCGAAGCTGGGAATCGAATTTTGCCAGAAGCTTTTCGACATCATACAGAATCTATTGCAGTCGGACATGCGTGAGGACCGCCGTTCTGCGTGCTTTGTCATGAGAAAGATACTTGAGATTGATGAGGCGCGCAAAGGCGATGCACAGCCGAAGATACTCGAGCCCCTCAAGTGCAGCGAAAGTCAGTGGTCCGCCTATGTGGACATTACGGAGAATCTAGAGGAGCAGCAGTCGCACCTGGTGCTGCCCACCCTGAGTACTCTGCTGCCGCGTCTGGCCCTCATGTCGCCGGACATGAGTGACGACTGGGTGGGCTGGTTGCGCATCTTGTGCATCCGTCTCTTGCAGGATAACAATATATTGGTGTTGAAATGGACGCTCAAATACTTTCTCAACAAGCTCAGCCTTGGCTGGGTAGTTAGTGTTGATCTGATCTATGATCTCCTAGCGGCCACTAACAGAACGCAGCTGTTCAATTGGGAGGCCAAAGACCACCTGTCGGAGAAGCAAACAATTGACTTTATGGGAGGTGGAAGCGTAGAGGTATTAATGGAGCCACTGGCAGCAATTCCCTGGCACTGTGTCCCATTGCTGCACTGGCTGCGCTGCATCCATCCGGATCAGGTGCCCACTGTTGGCAAGGAATTGCTCTACAAGCTATGCGCCCGAGTCCGCATCTTGCAGAATACCAAACTGAGAATCTTAGTTAACGCGCGGCTGGTTTTCCTCTTCCATGTAAGTATCGTCGCACCTTCTATCGCACCTGAGCAGAATAAACCATATAGGATATATGTATTTCAGGACACAATTGAGGGTCTCAACTTGGGCGATTATATGATGTTTGTGGAGTCGCTATTTAATACCAGCGATGGCTATAAGGACCACGCTCGCTTGATAGACAAAATCAACAAATGCAAAAACTTTGGGGCCCATCTGCCGTACTTCAGCAGTCGTTGCTTTTACATTATATGCCCAGATGCTAAGCTGTTGCGCGCATTTTTATGGCAATTACAAGGCGTACCCAAGGCGCAGCACGGTTGGTGGCGCCTTGCCCCTGTCTTCGTGGGCAGCAACTCCACCGAGATCCACGATGAGTACGCGTTCTACTGTGCTGTGTATGGTTTTGATCCGCTATTGACCAAACCTGGGGCCATGACTCTCGAACAGATGCAGCAGCATTTGCTCGATAGGTTCAATTGCGAGTCGAGGGAGGAGAGGTCGTTTGTGCTTGAGCATTCTGTGGATCTATTCGTTGAAATCAACTTTAAAAATTGGGCCCAGATAGAAAAGAATAACTTACAACCCCTGGATCTGTTGGATAAGGGCACCATAATTACATTTTCCCGTCTATGCTGGCTGTTGGCACGCCAGAGAGAGCGATTGGCAGACGATAGCATGATATTGCCAGCTCTGATTGACCGTTTGGCCAGATGCAACAGAGCCAACGCGTAAGCATTGAGTCTATGGGATTGTTTTTCATTTGATTTTACTTCTAAGTTTGGGTTTCAGCAATACCTATGCTCGATATATCCTCAAGTACGCCAATGCCTTTTTGACGCAAGAAAATTATGAGATTGTCGTGAAGGATTTGCTGCAACAACGACCCAGTTCCCTCGAAGCGTTCGAGAACTTTACATTGCCGATGCCCCTGGTCCTGAGAGAATTGCTTCATGGAGAGACCAGCACTGGAGATGCACGGTGAGTGCAAGGACTTGTGTTAATGCCAGAGTATAAAACGTTTAACACATTTATGTCATTTGAAAGCATTGAGGCCGCCGAAATTTACCGCATTGCGAATATCTTTGACGATGATGCGTTTAGTCGATCGAGATTTTTAAGCACCGCATTCCATCTACGTGACGATACTCGCGATGTGAACGGACTCTTCCAGGAACTGCTGTGGACCAACAAGGAGCTGTCGGCGAAGAAGCCGCGCTATTTTGAGAACTCAAAGGAGCACAGAACCAAAATGCGCATTTGCAAGGCTCTGCTATTCCTGGGCTCACCCGATCTTGTCAAGTGGTCGGATCTACTGTGGGAGGCACTGTTGTGGGCCAATGACCAACTGAATATAAGCTACATGTACGAGTGTCTGGTGTCTAATATGTTGCCAAGCATTGATCCACTACTGGATAAGCTGTCGCAGATTCAGAGCTTCACGGCCGGTCAACATTTGTCGCTCACCAGCGTGGCCCATCTGTACTGCATGGCCAATTGGGAAAGCCTAGATACAGATAAGTTGAATGCCATTTTTGCGGCACTCTTGCCGCTCACCATGGGATCTCACTTTCAAACGCGTGTGCTCGCCCAACTGGTGCTGCACAAGCTGGCGGAAAAGTGCGAGACAAGCGGGTAAGGCACAGACCATATCGAATGAAAGCACACAAGGTTAAACAACTATTTACTACAGCATTCAGATGCCAATAGCCGTTGCCCTGAAGACATCGATTGAAGCCACGTTTGGCGACAAGTTCGATGAACTGCGAAAGGAGCCACGTCTCGTGCTATCTCTGGTTATGAAGAGCCAGCATCTAAGTCCCTGTTTTGCGGCAGAGTCCATCCTCTATATGACGCATGCACCCTTCGATGAATGCATAAGACCGGCAGTGCTCAATGGAACGTCTGTGTTCGAGGACACTCTCAAGGCCATTCGTTCGTTCTTCAAGAGCAAGAAGGCTGGATCATTGGCAGAGCCAACATTCCTGGACAGTGTCGGTGCCATCAACGGAAACGTACAGAGAAAAATGAATCCCATTGCCGATATATATCCGGAGGCTGATTTGGTCAAATGCACATGTGGTGTAGACACAACTAAGCAGCTGGTGGTAGTGGCTTCCCTGATCGACAAGCTGCCCAATCTGGGCGGTCTGGCGCGCACCTGTGAGGTTTTGGGCGTCCAGACCTTGGCTGTGGGCAACAAGGCCCTAACGGGAAAGAGCGATTTCACCAACTTAAGGTTAAGCCTATAGTTAAGCACCCACATGGGCTATGCGGATCTAATGCATATTTCAATTTCAGCATGACCGCTGAGAAGACGCTGGACATTATCGAGCTGAAGCCCAGTTATATTGGTGAATTTCTGATGGCGAAACAAATGGAGGGCTTTAGAGTTGTCGGGGCCGAGCAGACCGCTCACAGCGTTAGTTTCGCCAACTTTAAGTTCCCCAAAAAGTGTGTCCTACTGCTGGGGTGAGTAGTTTTTGATCAGGGAAATGGCAATCGCAATATAATCTCGTGGTTTCCTTTTTTCAGGCACGAGAAGCATGGGATACCAGCGGATCTGATTGGTTTCCTGGACTATGCCGTGGAAATACCACAATTTGGAGTGGTGCGCTCACTCAACGTCCATGTCACAGGGTCCCTATTTATTTGGGAATATTGCAAGCAGCATTTTTTCTAAAGAATAAGAATCCAGTTAATGTCTAAAAATGAATATTTTTTTTGTAGTGCTCGTTGCGACTTTGCCCGTTGGCAAGTAAGCCTCACTATAAGCATTTTTAAATGCACTTATATTATCACAATTCAGTAGTAGTAGTAGTAGTAGTATCAGTAGAATCGTTCAACCGTTTGATCCGAACTTTAAATTGTTGACAAATCGGTAAAAAATTAGAAAATTCAGAACCATATTCCGCCCGCAACCCTAACCGTCCGCTTCGGCCACTGTTCGACTTCAAATTACGAATTTAATTAACTTTATGGTTGAAAAGGCGAACACGCACGTCCCGCTGCAAGACAACAAAAGAATGTCTTATCCACTGCTTTTATTTTGCCGTTGCAAATAATATACACCACACACATAAAATATCCAATGTTGAGCTTAAGCCCGAAAGTCCGCATTCGATTTAATTGGACCCGTGCAAAATTGGCCAACATATCTGCTTATGTCGTTACTCTTGTTCAATAAATAAATAATTAAAATCAATAAAAATGTCTATGGTAGACATTCGGTCTACCAGTGTTGGTAGGTGCAATTTTTTAGTCGAAGCTTGCCAGCCCTGGACAGCTGATAATAACAATAACAAGAAGTAAATAAATAGCATGAGTTTTTCCGAAAACAATTCCGACTCCGATTGGTAAGTATTATTAAACAGAGATAGCTTCAGCTTGAAATATATGTATACAATCAATTACAGGAAGGAGGCCAGGGTAAGAGTGGCTCGAAAGATCAAACAAGGCGCAAGGCAGGACAACGACAAGAAGCTTGGAGGAAAACCGAAGTATAATCAAAGGTTTTGCGAAAAGTGGCTAAACATATTCGAACCGTGGTTGAGGCGTTCCGACGACGATCCAAATAAGCCCTTCTGCCGTGCCTGCCACTGCCGCCTGGACTGCAATCGATGTCATCTCGTCCGGCACGAGCGCACCACGAAGCACAAGCGAAATCTGGAGGCCCTGATAACCAAAGGCGAGGGAGCGATACGAAACGAGTTGACTGTGCGGCAAGAGCGGAGTAAATACTTCCAGAAGCGGCCCAAGCCGGCGTCACCGGAAAAGTCCAATGTAAATGAACCTGAATACCTGGAGGCTGTGGCTCCAGAACCTATAGCAACCACCACCGTGCATGTTATAACCACCGAAGTTGATGATTTTCCAACTGGCACACGAAATATTGATGAGACGAATTACAGCATCAGCAGCAGTACCGTCCCCAAACAAGAAATTCTATCAGAGACAGAGACAAACAACAAGCCCAACGTCGAATCTCATTCAGGAATTCTGCAAGAGACCGATGCGTTGGGTACCGACTCGCCGACGACCACAAAGCGCAACACCGGCTCCTCTTCATCCAATCAGGAGGGTCTTAGGCTGCTGATGCAAATCCATCAGGATAAAAACGAGTTGATGGAGTCCTTCCGCGAACTGATGGGGAGCAACCAGTCGACGCACCCCCCGCCGCCCAAGGAAAAAAACCACGTAGACCTGTTCTTCGAGAGCGTCAGCTCCAGTGTGAAGGCTCTGTCGCCAAAGCTCATAGCGGAGGCCAAGATGCGCGTGTCGCAGATCATTTGCGAGCTGGAGCTGCGTGGCCTTAAGGATAATAGTACAAACGAGGATGTCATTGAGATGCCCATGGCGACGCCACCAGCAGCTAGCTTGTATCTGCTCAGGCAGAGCAGCAGTGGATGTGCTGTGGTGCAGCAACCACACTTTGGGGGCCTCAGCTGAAATGTAACCCTTAAGAGAATAATAAAAAAAATAGCCCAAATTTTTAATGAAGTTGTCCAGCAATGATATAGCAAATAGCTGACATATGTACATCATAGATTCAAGTTAGTATCTGTTCCTTTGAATTCTAGTTGGATTCTTAGTCAGGCTCGTGACTTTTGAATAAGCGTCGATATCATCGGGAAAATGATAGTAATTATCAGTTCGTGCTCACCTCTAGTCAGCTGTTCAGTGCCTGCAGTGCTGTAAAGCGTTCGCATTCGCCACTATTTTATCGTAGTCGTCTTTTGTTTTGTTGACTTGTTTTTCAACAAAATTCGAAAATATTTCCATGCCAAATGGCCACTTTTATGGAGGAAGCGTTGGTCGAAGCGCGACGGGCACGTGACGCAGGCGAGGTGCCCGTCGGCTGTGTCTTTGTGCACGAGGACAAAGTAATCGCACGTGGCGCCAACGAAGTGAACGTCTACCGGAACGCTACCCGACATGCTGAATTCATTTGCATCGATGCCACCTTGGCCCACTGTCGGGAGAAGAGCCTGCCAGCACGTCAAATGTTCAGCGAGATCATCGTGGTGGTCACCGTGGAGCCGTGCATCATGTGCTCGGCCGCCCTGCATACGCTGGGCGTCAAGGAGATTATTTTCGGTTGCGAAAACGATCGTTTCGGTGGAAAGACGGTAGTGGATGTCGGGGCCGTGGTGGGCCAAAGAATACAAATCACAGGCGGCATCCGCGCCGATGAGGCCATGGCGCTGCTGAAGGAGTTCTACAAGGGCGACAACCCGGCGGCGCCGACAAAGAAGAAAAAGTAACGTTGCTGCACCATCAAAACTATCCAAAAGAAGTGCAGGCGAAGTAATGTTTCTTATAAACTTTAAGTATAGTCTAAGATATGTATGTATATGGCGTTCTGAACGTATGTTAAAACAAATACAATTACAAGGAAGCTACATGTCATGTGTGTAGTGTTGGCTGTGCCTGTCAAACTGTAGGAAGACAACTCAAAACATATTTTTTATTTAAATGCTATATGCTCTGTGTGCGATCTATACAATTACAAGCAAGTGTTGTCGACACGAAAGTTAATTTGACTATGACAAACGGCAGATACGGATCTTTTAGAAAAGTCCAGCAGGGCCCGGCCGGTCTGCTGCAAAGTGTCCCTCTTCCTTACTTTATCGAAAGGAAAGAAACTAAGTCACTAGAAATGTTACAAAATTTGTAAAGTTGGCGCCAAACAGCAGCGGAGCCATTTAAAGTTTGATAGTATCGATAATACTATCGATAGCTTCGGTTTTTTTCTGTCTCTTTCTTCAAAGATATGGCTGTTATTTATTTTAATGTAAATAGCTATAAAACTCTTTGAAATGAAATATGTTCCAGCTGTAGAATGCATGAGTAAATACGTACCTACCTGTAAGTTTTTTTTTCTGTTTCACTGAATGCTGCTCTCAGCGACATACATACATATCTTCGCGTGGATGCATGTCGTTAAGAAAATTTTGAAATTTTTTAAATTAATTTTTAAATTATTTTCGGTCTTAGACATTTTTGCCACTTTTTCAATCTAGCTTTTATTTTGTCTGCATTTCCGGCAGCACTAGCCATGAAAGCCAAGTCACTCTCCGCATGTCACTCTAACACACGAAACGAGTGCTGGAACTTAGCTTATTAAAGGCTAGATTTATCATTTTTGAAATAAATAGAATATCTTTATAAAATGAGCTTGAGCTGCGTCCCAAATGAAATCGACGATATAACATGTGCAAATTTAGGAATAATTTAAATTTAATGATATTGATATTTTAAAAGTGTGCCGTACATCGTGATAATAATATTAATTATTTTTTTGCTGATATTTACTGTTACTAACCTGATTAAATAGGGCGGGGTTAAGCTCTTTTTTTCTCGGTTTCCGAGGTTCCAGTCACACTCGACAAAACAAATCAAGTGAACTATTTATTTTTCCATATATACATATACATTTGAAAATGACCGCCAAACTCATTTAGCAGAAAAAAACTCCTGACATTTTTCGATCTCAAACAGTGGTGGTTTTTCAAAATTTGCTCTCTTTTTTTGTGGTGAAACATGTTCTTAACGGGAACGCGTATGGAATGAAAATTCATTTGTATGGGACAAATTTCAGCAACATGTGGAAATGAATTAGCAACATTGTTCTGCAACTTTGGCATGGGGTGAGCAACAATCTGCATACCTTGGGAAAATGGATATTATGGACTTGAGATATTGTTTGTAATTTCAGGCTACAATTAATGCAGAAACTACTCAGTCTTTGTTTTAAAGATATTAACGAAATTTTGCAGCTCACGGGTTCCAATAATAGGTATCAGAACGGGAATAAATGTATTTATAAAACACAAACATGTGCATTAATAGATAAAAAAACATCTCAATCTAAGAAAAATGCAATATTAATGTTTCTGTGGAGCTTGGAACAACAAATTTAACATAAATTAAAGGAAATAAGGTATACAAAAGTCCATACGCATGGATGAATTTTGGTTGACCAGCAACACTGACGGAACATTTTGTCTACATTTTTTTTTTTTTTTTTTTGCCTTTTTTTTTTTCTTTTTTTTTTTTTTTATCCAACAAAAAAAACTCTTTTAATTTTCCCCCTCCCCAAAAAAATTTTTTTTTTTTTTTTAAAAAAATTTTTTTTTTTGGTTGGGAGTCCCAGCTAGCTAGTAATATTAAACGGAATATCAAAATTGATAAATTTCATATCACAAAATATCATGGTATGGCAGCCCCAGCAACTACGAATTGCACGAGTCTGGCAACGCCACAAAACGACGTCACATTCGTTTTATGTTGTTTTGTTTAAACCTTAATATGTAAATAATCCGATAAAAAAGACTCTAAACTTGCCAATCTGTAAAAAATGTATGTATTATCGGATAAAATTATTTGTTTACGGCTGGAGGGCCAACTATCTAGTAATAGTAAACTGAATATTAGGAATATCAACGCATCTTTTCGTGTCCTTCAGAATACTTACGATATTATTTAGTAAGTTCCAATTTATTTGTTTATATATTAAGATACGCTTAAAATGACCGCCAGACTCCACTTATCGCATAAAAATATCGATATTATTCACTCTCATTCGTGGAGAGTTTCAAAATTTGCTCTCATCGTGGAGAGTGAAATTTGCTCTCAATTGTGGAGAATAGGTGTTTTTGTGGAGACTTTCCCCTCATTTTCGTGGTGTGACATGTTGCTGAAATTTTTCCCATACAAAATCAAATGTATCTTACGGGACGCGTATGGAATAAATTCATTGTTGCGTCATTCCATACGCGTTCCCTATGATACATTTGATTTGTATGGGAAAAATTTCAGCACGGGAAATGAATTAGCAGCATTTCTGTGCAACTTTGGCACGGAATGAGCAACAATCTGCATACCTTGGGAAAATGGACATTATGGACTTGAGGTATTGTTTGTAATTTCAGGCTCCAATTAATGCAGAAACTACTCAGTCTCTTATTTAAAGATATTAACGAAATTTTGTAGCTCATGGGTACCAATAATAGGTATCAGAACCGGGATAAATGTATATATAAAACACAAAACATATGCATAGATAGGTAAAAAATAACTCAATCTTACGAAAATGCAATATTAATGTTTCAAAGCAGCCTGAAACAACAAATTTAACATCAATTAAAGGAAATAAGGTATACCAAAGCACATACGCATAGAAGAAACTTGGTTGACCAGCAGCATGTGACGTCACATTTAGTCAACATTTACGTTTTATGCTTTGGCCGTTTTTTTTTGAACCTTATTATGTACACAATCCAATGAAAAGGAGTTCTGAAAACTAGCCGATCCTGAACAAAATTTATGTTTCTATCGGATAAAATTATTTGTTTAGGGCTGAGAGGGCAAACTAGCTGGTAATATTAAACGGAATATCAAAATCGAGGAATATCAACTTTGAATGTTTTGGAGAAAACAATCGATACTATCGTAATAGTATCGGGCTCAAATAATTATTAAAAAACCATTGAAACCTCTTAGGAACTTGACCATTGTAAAAGTTAGTGCCACCTGTCGATTTGTTTACAAATGTGTCTTCGTATTTTATAGCAGCCAATCCAAACATATCAAAAGCACAACGACTGTAGCTCGATACTATCATGATAGTCGCAAAACCGTCGATAGTAGAGACTAGCAGTAAAATATCGATACTATCGATAGTGCCATCGATGGTTTGACACCTCTAGCTTCCATCAAATCGAAATTTCGCCGCCGTAAACAACGCATGCAGACCTATGTCCGATTTTTTTGTGAATTCAGAACGAAACACAGAAAGCTGAAATAACGCCAACTTGTTTATAAATTCGGAAAAGCAATTTAACTGCGTTGATACAATAATTATTGAACAAACAATATCTCATATTAGATTGATATTTCGATTTATCAAAAATAACAATAACACCCAACCTACCCTCGCACAGGACGCCGTTGCCCCCCCGCGTCTTTGTTTTTGTGTGTTGTGTGTTTACTGTTTTGATCAATGAAAACATTCGATTCAATGTACGCTGATTTTTAATTGTGTTGCGCGGATAAATAAGCCAGGGAATTGGGGACCGTGCAATGCATTCTGCCGCCGGGAAGTTCATGAGAATTTGACATTTATGTGGATGTTGTGGCTGCGCTGAGCCGCTTGCTGCAATAGCAACTAAGTCTGAGGCTGCTGCAGCGGCGTGGGTCGAATTCGCGCGGACACACCCACCCAAAAACAAGAGTAGTCCAAAGGCCCCAATTGTTCAGTGGTAGTTTAGGCACATACATATGTATATGTAATTGCACGTGTGTGTGCGTGAGTGTGAGTGGCGAAAGGAACCGGGGCCGGGTAACAGAGGGACCGGTTTCGCAGAGCGCGATTTACGAGTAATTGACAAAGCAAACAAATACTTGTACAACAACGAATGCCGTCATAAACGAGCTGCAAAATGTTCCAGTGAACGTGCGCTCCAATCAGAAAGAGATTCACCATCCTGTGAAGCGAATGCAAGGGCGAAAAACATGCCCATCCTGCCCAGGAATCTATAATTAGCGATATTTAGAGTACAAGTCCCACGCCCTAAACATGGTCATGCCCCCGCTGCAGACCCAACCTGGCACATTCCTTGTGGCCCTTGGCCTATGCTGCTGGCTTCTGGCGACGGCCACGGCACACAACTGTCAGCACCAGCATCCCAAAGCCCATGAGGTAAGTGACGCCAAATATGGTAGAGGGGGAGGAGTTGCTTTGCGTTGCCAGGAAACGAATGAAAAGCAAACACACACAAATAAAGGAAACTCCACAGAATATCCCTTTTGTGGGAGGTTCGCGTAAACGCTACTTGTAACGAACAATGATTAACTTGGATGTTTTTCAGTGTCAAAACGAAGCGTCTTCTATAAATTGAGGGCATCATTATTTTTCCTTCTTGAATCAGAGCAACAGTTCGACTTTTGTAAGGGCGTAGAAGAGCAATGTTGTGTTTGATTTTTTCATTTCATTGTAATACTTACAATATCTAGCTCGAATGCATTGATTGTGCATAAGAAGAGTGTACTAGGAAATACAAGAATGTGAGTGGCAGGTATATTATAATCGGAATACCCGGAAGCGCCCTCAGGCTGCTTGCCTCTCTTTAGTGAGCCACAAACTCTGCTCATTAGGTGTGAGCTCCTAATTGGTCTTGTTGTCAAAGGAGGCTTTTCCAACAAATACTCGTACACATAATTAGTATGTCATAAAAGTTTACTAAAATTAAGTTTCTCACACAGCCACCCGAATGATTCTGACTAACAGCCAGAGCAATAGAAACCGCAGCTTGTTGACTAATGCCACTGGATGGATAATCATATGCGAACTTAAGATTCAGCAGAGGTGCTGCAGTGCATGCAATGTGGTTACCAGAGGTTGGGTTGGTTCGGCTGGATGGTTGCCACACCGCCAGCACCTGCAGCTACTATACATGCAAACATATGTATGTACATATGTATGATCGACCAATCTGATCTAGTTTTGATTTAATGTCAACTTGTTGCAGCCAGATGATCCGTATTTCGTGCGTAATTGTATTGGATCTTTACCCATGAAAAATTGACAATTTCGTACTTAAACTTAACATTTTCAATGCTACACAAAAACTATACATAAATCATAGTAGGATTGACTATCTTATCTAATTTTTTTCGAAGATAATCCAACCTTTTCCAGTTTGGAAATCGATGTTTAAGTAAGCGTATTAAATGCTTCGTTTAAGCTTCCATTGTGGTTGTGTAGCTTTGGGGGATTTTCTGATATTTTATTTCTTTCCAATCAACGGCATTTTAATTGGCATGTCGCCATAAACAAAGGTCGCCTTCAATTGAGCAAAGGGGGAAATTTTACATGACTAGTACTACAGTTGTATCCAGTTCAAGTTCCAGTTCAAGTTCCATTCCTCCCTCCATCAGTAAGAGTGACTTGAGAGAATTAATTCAGTCTGTGTGTCTGGTCTGTACCTAACGATGCTGTACCGATATTGCTCGGGGCAATTAACTTAATTATCTGTAACTTAAACTCTTAAGAGTGAATAATATACCCCCAGAGGCCGTCTCCCTTTAAACGCAGATTTATTCTGTCACGTTCCGTGATTGTGGAGATTAAATAAATAAATATATGCGGGAGATGTGTATGTATGTACCGTAAACACTCAAACCACATGGCTTACGCTACTTTAATAAATGCTACATTATACAAGTACATAAATAATGTATTTATGTACATAAGAGCTTATGTACAGCTGAACCCAACAGCCCGAGCAGCACTTGATTCTAATTAAGCTGTGTAAAGTGAGAAAAAAAAGTACATAAATAAGCCCGTAGTACATACTATGTAAAATATTTCAAATTGAATCATTTGTCACGCTGCACTGACAACGATGCTGTGGAACTGTTGTATGACCGAGCGGATGAGCGGATAATTGCGAACACAGATGCACTTCGCTCGGGCTTTGAGCGTCAACGTTCAACTTATTTAAGTATGTGTTAGATGCTTTCAATCCTTATTTATTGAGAACTGATTGAATTCGCATATACATATGTATCTTGTGTACTTTAACAAGTGAATCATGCGTCAACTTACAAATAATTTCGATATTTGGCAGTTGTAAGCTCTCTGAAGGTCTTCGATTAATCCCGTGCTGCAATTCGCTCTACTGCCAGAAGCTCTTCCTTGAATATCCGTCTCTCAATTTTCACTTGAGGAAGACTAATGAATTTCAGTGAAAATGGCAAAGTTTGTTCTCGACTTAAATTATAATCCTTTGGGAAATACAATGTACATATATGTATGTACATGATTTTTATATAAGTAACAAACCTTCACTTTGCTTTTCATGGTTTCCTTTATGACAAATGATTAAAGGATGTGCTAAATGGAAAATTGTTATGATAAGAATCGAGTTTTTCTTTCCTCAGGTACAGTCAGTTTGTTCAGTGTAGAGAATCCCGCTTTCTGGATCGCCCGGGGTAAATGGAGCTTTTTGTTCCGTTGTTCTGCCTGTCAGTTTCAATGAACGTCTCGTTATCCATTGTACAGTAATTGGGGAATTATGTGCTTCTGTTATACAGTCTCTCCGCTGCTGCAACTCATGTATCAAGCACGTGGAATGGTGCAGGTGCAGGGGGCTCTAGAAAGTGAGAAATATTACGGGCATATCAGCAGAATAAGTTGCTGTTGCTGTATTTCGCTTTCAATCGAATTACTGAAACCAGTAGCCACTGTTGAATAATCAGGATTAGAATGAAAAACATTGTGGGATGTAGCTGTAGGAAAACCGTGGGGGGCAGTAGTTATGAAATCAGTAGAAACAGCCGTCAGCGAGCAAGTCAGCATGCGAATAAATATCTTGAATTTATTTCTCCTACGAGGCAAGTGGAAACACGTTTAATGAAAGCAAAATGTAGTTAGCATAAACGTAGTTGTAAATGAACGTACAACAGCCCGCTTCAGGGCCATTAAATGAAATGCGTTTGAAACAAACTTGGCAAAATGCCAACAAGCTAACAAGTGTCATGTGCAGGAGAAGAGAAGCTTCCTCAACATCGTACATAATGTATGCACTACAGTACAACTTATCTAAAGACAACTTAACGAAATCAAATGGTAGTTCCTCATAACAGATAGGGATGCATCGCTTTGAAATATATCTACTAGATACATTCCAGGATATGCTTCCTCAGATGGCTCTCTTAACCATTACCTTCTTCGAAAAATAAACAAGTTATTCAATAAAAACCTCCTTTCAATTTAAAATCCAATCCAAATTAAGTTCAAAAATTGTTAAGAGACAAAAAATATGGCCTCGGGGGCGCCCAATGATTAAATTTGAATAAAAAATAAATATTTTTTGTATGTTTATTTATATAAAATTAACATGATATTCAATAATTTACAAAGTACTGGGCTACATTTTTATGTTCCACTTTTAAGGTTTTTTTTTGTTGGAAGCTGGTGGTTGGAGTGCGAGAAGTTCGACTGTACCTTGTACGTTGTACAGCAGGAAACGTTATGATGCTCGAGGTCATTGGGATGGCATCCCTTGCATAAGCCAATTTAAGCCCGGCACATTGGTATCTGGCAACAACAGGCTTCCAAAAACCCCCCTTTTCCCGCTCCATTCTCCGCGTGCCAATTGCTGGAATTTCAATTTGAACGGAACGCTCTCACAAGAGGTTTACGTGCCTGAAAATGCAATTATTCCATTTGTTTTGATTGAAAGGCAGGCAGAAGGCAAACCACGCCAGAACGGAACCAATTTATAACAGTAAGCTGCGTAAATTAAATGAGACGTACATCTACTAATGGTCCTTAATCCGCGTGATCAGCTAGTGCTTGGGGGGAGGCCATCGTTGAATGCATTTAATATTTACGATTAAGTAACACAGTGTCAGGCCAGGGCCGGCCGCAGTCGCTGCCCCCCCTAGTTCCCACTCCGCACTTCCAATGCGGTCAAGCTGTGAGGTAAGAAATAAATTGAGTAAAATAATAATCAGCAAACAGATGAGGCAGAGCGCGGTACGGACAGACACCAAAAGAGAGCATCGCAATAGCATGCAAAATAGGCAATATTACAACAAACAATTAACGGAAAACGGAGAGCGAAGAGCAAAGAGCGGAACAGTGTGCGAGAATGAATACCTGAGATACCTGAGAGGGAGAGTGGCGTGCCAATGAAAGTGAAAGCACAAACAAAATGCTCAATGGACTGCAACAACAACACACAACACTCACTTTAAAGCTTCGACGGCCAGTTCCATTGATCTGCCGAACTTGAGCGAGCATTGAACGCCAGGTGACGGTGACTGTCGTCAAAAGCCGTAAACAGGGAGGGGGGCGGGGAAGGAAGGGAGAAAGAGAGTCGAAGTCGGAGTCAAAGAAATGTTGTCATGCACGACCAACGGACAGACAGAGCGACAGACAGAGACGTAAATAATTACTCAACCGCCGATCGATGATCGATTCCCGCTCCCAAAATTAGCATGCGCAACTGGACAAACCGCGTTGGAGCTTCATAATACGGCCAACTTGTGGCTTACTCCCCCCGCATGCTGCCGCAAGGCACGGAATGGACTGGACTGGACAGGGCAGGGCAGGGGCAGGCGTTCGTGTCTTCAGGTTTTTTTGCCAGTTTTTGTGCAGCTTGTACATACATATGTTTGGCTCTAAAAGTAAATACGGGAGGTAATCAAGCAGGCGCAGGCTCAGCCAACTGTGGCTGTAGCTGTACATTTCTCTTTTCTTTATTTGCTTTGATACACTTTTTGTACAATATACCCTCGCAAAAGGGTATTGCAAGTTTCGGCAGAAGTTCGCAACAAACAGAAGGTCAACAGGAGCCGGTAATGCGACACTGATTCCAAAATATTGATAAATATTGGCTCGAGTCGTTGCTTATTTTATGTTTAAATTAAGGCTAAGGAAAGCCGCATACCAACCACGGAAACTCCCGCTTAATTTGGATCACATGAAACCGGCTCCAACCAACTTTTCGATGAATCAGTAAGGGTATTTATAGATTCGGTTCGAAGCAGTCCGGCCTTCCTTTCTTTCTTTCTGTTTTGCCTTGCTATAATTTCTGCCTTAAACGTGAGTCGCATATCCAAAGCTGGACACGCTCGAATGTGGCCCACAAACCGAGAAAATTTGTTAGATATTCCAATCTGTGTTAGGTTAGTATGCAAGCCAGTTGGGCATTACGTCTTATCGGAGATTGAATAAGCGTATGTGCATACTGCGATAGTTAGAAAGTGTGTCCGAAAAGGTTGCCTAGCACCCACGCGATACATGACACGCAAAAAAAGCCAACAGTCATTATTTGAATATTCTTTGAGCTTCAAAATCATATATTAAATATAAATCATTTAAAGTATAGAACTGAGCCATTAATTTCCAAAGCAGGTACTTTGCCTGAATACCAAGTTGTATGCATTCCATATTGGCCGAATTCTACGGGAAATTTCTCTAAAACTCCCACTTCATCCGGGCTCCAACGCAACAGACTCAGTTCAGTTTCAGCCTTTTAAGAAGTTTCACATACAAATTTGATTGAAATTGCTGATAATAAATATTCCAAGCTATAGACTCACCAAGTAGGGACAGGTGTGATTTACATTCGTAAAATGCTTTAGATACGAGTATATTAAATTGGGAATAAATAACTTTCTGCGGTTCCTGAAGAACATGCAAGCATCCACCTTCATATCATATAGAAACGGATGCCAGCCACCGCTTTCGCGTTTCACCATTCTAAAATGGACTTGAAACTGAAAAATATATGTAAAAATTTATTTAGATTTAGTTATGAGTTCTCTTGTTGGACTTTGGATCATAGTTACGTCTGCAATGGTTTTGTTTAGATAGGCGACGATATTCATCATATTATGCTTCCGATCGATTGCTTTGATGGCGCACTCTTTGATCTTTACTAGATTTGGGTTGATAACCTCACAAGCCAGCGAATTGAACTTGTAGGAACCCTCCACCTAAGGATTAACAAATTACTGATTCATCAGATTACACGACAGGGTATGGAAATGGAAAAACTCACACAGAAATATGTTAGGCATACGAGTATTGCAGAAAAGTAAAACCTTAGTTGTGTTCTCGTCATCCTCTCGATTTTAACTGGAACTTCCGGGGATATTACCCAACTTTAAACAATTCGGTACTGTGCTGTTGATTTAGTTTTAATTATTTGTACATGAAATTAAATGTGCATTTATAAATCATTTGCTAAGCTCTGAGAGCTCTCAGCATACATATGTTTTTACCACATTATTTGTCCATTTGATGATTGTTGTAAAAGCGAATCCATTAATGAAATGCATTCACTCGCATCCATCGAACAATGCCTTTGGGTTGCATTCATTGCCTCCTCTCTTTGTCTCGCTTGATGTCCAAAACGGTATTGTGCGTCATAATCTTTCACCTGCCAAACGTTTCGCAGATGATTTGTAATTTGTGAGGTTTTTCAGATTCAATAAGTTAGTTAGAAAGTGTGTCCGAAAAGGTTCCCTAGCACCCACGCGATACACGAATTCTTTGATTATTCTTTGAGTTTCAAAATCATATATTAAATATAAATATATAAATCATTTAAAGTATAAAACTGAGCCATTAATTTCCAAAGCAGGTACTTTGCCTGAATACCAAGTTGTATGCATTCCATATTGGCCGAATTCTGCGGGAAATTTCTGTAAAACTCCCACTTCATCCGGGCTCCAACGCAACAGACTCAGTTCAGTTCCAGCCTTTATAAGAAGTTCCACATACAAATTTGATTGAAATGGTTAACAATAAATATTCCAAGCTAGAGACTCACCAAATAGGGACAGGTGTGATTAAAATTCGTAAAATCCTTCACATACGAGTACATTAAATTGGGAATAAATAACTTTCTGCGGTTCCTGAAGAACATGCAAGCATCAAACTTCATATCATATAGAAACGGATGCCAGCCACCGCTTTCGCGTTTCAACAATCTAAAATGGACTTGCAACTGAAAAATATATGTAAAAATGACAAATGTATTTAGATTGGGTTATGGGTTCTCTTGTTGGATTTTAGATCATAGTTACGTCTGCAATGGTTTTGTTCAGATACGCCACAATATTTATCATATTATGCTTCCGATCGATTGCCTTGATGGCGCATTTTTTGATCATTCCCAGCTCTGGGTTGATAACCTCACAAGCCAGCGAATTGAACTTGAAAGAACCCTCCACCTAAGGATTAAAAAATTACTGATTCATCGGATTACGCGACAGGGTCTGGAGATGGAAACACTCACACAGAAATAGGTTAGGCATACGAGTATTGCAGAAAAGTAAAGCCTTAGTTGTGTTCTCGTCATCCTCTCGGTTTTAACTGAAACTTCCGGGGATTTTACCCAACTTTAAACAATTAGGTACTGTGCTGTTGATTTAGTTTTAATTATTTGTACATGAAATTAAATGTGCATTTATAAATCATTTGCTAAACTTTGATTTCATCTGCTGAGAGCTCTCAGCATACATATGTTTGTGCCACAATATTTGTCCATCTGATGATTGTTGTAAAAGCGAATCCATTAATGAAATGCATTCACTCGCATCCATCGAACAATGCCTTTGGGTTGCATTCATTGCCGCCTCTCTCTGTCTCTCACTTGATCGCTCACACACTAATGGCTATCCAAAACGGTATTGTGCGTCATAATCTTTCACCTGCCAAACGTTTCGCAGATGATTTGTAATTTGTGCGGTTTTTCAAATGCCTATTGAATGCATTCAACCGCAGAGACGTCGAGTTATTGGATCAATGAAGGGGATACGCGGCCAAGTGGAGTTTTTGATCGTCACGATTGAAACCGGCTTTATAGACATAAGTCTTTGAAGGCTTACGCTTTGCCCATTTTTATCTCAAAGACAGATGATACTTTGACGGGGTGTTGCCTGTAGTGGGGGGGTTTTTGAGAGATGATATAGCACATTGTAGCTGCACGTGACAAGTGGCCCTTGAAAGCTTACTCATTAATGATGACTATCCCCAAGATCAGCTGCGCCCGCCCGCCCACTCCTCTTCAACTATTCAAACGGAGTAAGTTCCCTCCCTCTCCCGTTTCAGCACTTCAATCAGTGTGTACGTACGCCTTTGTTTGTTCAGCTCATTTCAATGCCAAACTCTTTTGTCTGCCTCTTAGATAAATATCACCATTTGCCAAAGCTATTACCATTGTTGTTCTGCGACAAATAGCTGGAGCTGGTTCTGGTGCTGGTTCTATGGGTACGGTACGTGCAGGTGCAGGTGTCTTTTGATGCCATTTAGCGGCAGTCAGCAGCATTCAACATTCCACACACTTATGGAACACCTCACAAATCACTTCCCACGGCATCGTTTATGGTAGGGCAAAAAGCATGGCTTTTTATCAATTAAAGCCCAAGCTGAAATGTCTGTCAATTCATTTAATTCGTTTGCAAATTAGCTTTATTACAATTTACATTATTTTGTTCCTTTGTTGTCTGACTTCTGACTTTCACTTTCTGTATGTTCTTGCTGGATGTTGCTGGGGGGGCCCCTTTTATTTTCCCAGATAACCCTAGGCCACTGAGACCATATCATTTTCACTTTTATGGACCTCCCACCGCACTTGTGGAATTTGAATAGCTTTCAAGACCAGCAGTAGTCCCTCCCCCGCCATTAGCAGATCCCACTCGAAGTGGGAGCCCAGACGTCGCAACCTTTAATGCTTGATGGGCAAATATTTTTAGCCTGCCTCAGTTTTCATTGTGTGTGTGTGTGTGAGATACTCGCAACAAATTTATGCCGATGAGTGTCGAGCGACTGCTGTCTGTGTCTGTCAAGAGATTATCATCGCATTCAACGACTGGCCCTGCCATGCATATTCAACGAAGACGACAGACATCTAATTTATTCCTAATAATTGGCACACATTGCACAATGACCGCAAAGCATATTTATTATTATTTTTTTTGGGCAAAACAAAAGGCAACAATCCAAAACAATACTAATAAATGAGCAAACAAAAAATACAATATACATAAATATGTATGTATGTCTGTATTATAAGGGAAACAAGCAACACCAATCATTGACATTTTGGGGCTGCGCGATGTGCCAATCGTTCGACATTTTGGCGGGCAATTTAAAATTAATTTCCCTGCAATTTGCACAGACCAATTACCGTTTTGCCTTTGCCTTTGCCTTTGGGTTTGGGTTTGGGTTTTGTGTGGCCTTTGTGTGACATGTCGTCATTTAAAAGTTAACAACAATAACAGAAAAATAGCAACACAATTGAGCAGTTTTCGCTTTCGTTTATGCTCCGCTGAGTGATTTTCTTATCCCTCCATCTCACTCTCACTCTCGCTTTTACTCTCAATCTCAGTCTTCCCCCATCTCTCCATCTTTATCTCATTATTTATCTCTCTCGCTTTTATAGGTCGTCCATGGCGTGCGCATCCAACTGGCTGATAGCGATGATGACGACGCCACCGGCAACGGCGACGCAGCCGTGCATAGCGTGCGCCGACGCAGCGTCTCCGCCGAGCAGCCGCTGCGCATTCTGCTCGTCTATGATGATTCCGTTTACAGGTGAGTTCCAGCCACGGCACCAGCTCCAGCTTCAGCTCTAAAAACTCCAGTTTTTAAGCAGACTTTGTCGCAACGAAATTTTTATGCTCTTGAGGAACTTTAAAAGTCAACAGCTTGTGGGGAAATCTGTTTAATCAAAAGAAAAAAAAAATGATTTAAAATATGGATAAATGGATAGCTTTATTTTTGTGCAAAATAATACTTCAGAAATCATACAGGCATTCTCTTCTGCACCTTTCGCTTGTGCATCGAAGAATAAATCTCGGAGTAAAGAGCGCACTGATGTGCTCTCCCGCTGATTTAAACTAACAAATAAAACTCCCCAAAAACAGACTATGTAATATGAGTTTATTACCTCGGCTTCCTTCTGTGCTGCGTTACAGGGTCCGTGTCTAAAATGATAATACCCGCCTCTACGCAAGGGTATGGAAATTGCCTTTAATTGCACTTTAATGGCAGGCAGCCAAGCAAACAGCAAAACAGTTTACAATCTGACTTGGCCGAATGTCAAGTTAAGGCCTTACAAAAAAAAAACGACATATCGTATCCAAGAAAACAGCTCACTCTGTTAACTGTATCTGTGTCTGTATTGCTTTGGCCATGCACCGTTACCGAGTTGAGTTGAGTTGAGTAACACTTGAAGTTGAAATTGGTTTTGCGGTGCGGTACGGGTTCCGGGGCAGCCGCAATTTGTACAAATTAACGCAGCTAGGCGAGGTGGTGGTGGTGGTCGCTCTCCTAAGGTTAGCCTTAGCCTCATCGGTTGCTCCACCATTAACATCGCCCAGTACCAATTTACAGTAAGATCAAACGTCCAATCCAAGCCACGCGATCTCGTTTGGCGAGCAACGGCAGCAACGGACAAGGTCAGCGGGAAAACTAACTTGACTCGATTTGGAGTCGATATCAATCTCTCTGTTAATAATTGAGTGGCACAAATAAGTGGCTAAAAAAGGTGCAAACAGTGCGTGCCACAAGTATCAGGCAGATATCGGAGGAGAATTAGGGATGATTAATCAAAGACCTCTCCAAGTCTTCCATAGCAGCAGATAGAATATCTTAGCAGGACATTGTAATCAGTTCTAAGAAAGAGAACATTTTGATTGGTTCTCCGGAATTCGTCTAGCCACGCTGTCTCCCAATTATACGGTATATGGCGACAGAATCCATCAATTTTGAAATTCTGCAAATCATCAAAATTTAATTTCCACAAGAAAATTGCCCCCCAACATCTGGCTACCAGGCATGGCAATCGTAAACAAGTTCCTGTTGCTGCTGCCTTTGGAGGGAATTTTCGTTTGCCAATAACGAATCGTCTCCCTCCTTGTTTCAACGACAACTGAAAACTAATAATCGCAAAATCCTCTTTTATTTCCATGCCTACGCCCTGTCGCCACCCTTAGACTGGAGGAGGAGAAGTTCAATTTGATCAATGTAAGTGGACATTTCTGATTCGGATTTTCATCCAGGTACACAGTTTCTGCTTTCGACAATTTAATAATGCAACCATCCTTGCCAGGACACAGTGCTGCCGGAGGCCGTGCAGTTCTGGGAACAGGCCCTGATGGTACGAGAGACCAAGGGCATTATACGATTGAATAGGTAAGTTCAGGGACAAAACCAATCATAAATTATTCATGACTTGTTGTTCCATATATCTATATGTACGTGTGTGTGTCTGTCTGTTGTGTTTTGCAGAAAATGCGACAGCACGCAGGTCTATGTGAAGAACGGCCACACCCACTGCATCGACCACTGCAAGGCAACGACAATGTGCGGCGAGGTTCAAGTGCCCAACGAGCATTTGGATGTGGGTTTGCCCTCCCCCCGAAATTTTCCATGAATCCATATCTCATTTGGGAATGCATTGTGTTTCAGGTGTGTCGGGTATGCAATGCCACTGGTCAGAATTGCCGGATTGATAGCAACACCCAGCCGGGGGATGGCATCGAGAATGCGGACTTTGTGTTCTATGTTTCGGCACGGCAGACGCAACGCTGCTTTAAGGGGCTAACTGTGGCCTATGCGGCCCACTGTCAGCAGGAGGCGGCCCTGGATCGCCCCATTGCCGGCCATGCCAATCTCTGTCCGGAGAGCATCAGCACCAAGCCGCAGGAGCTGCAGACCCTCATATCCACAGTCAAGCACGAGATTCTGCATGCCCTGGGCTTCTCCGTTAGTCTGTATGCCTTTTTCAGGGATGACGAAGGACGACCGCGCACTCCCCGCAAGTCGGAAACGGGCAAGCCGTTCCTGAACGAGAAGTAAGCTCGAAAACTGGAAAATAAATATAACTTAATCTTTGAATGTTCCTGTCAGATTGCAGATCCATCAGTGGAGCAACGAGACCATACGCAAGGTGGTGCGCGAGAACTGGTCTGTGCGTGGTGGCCATGTCAATAAGGAGATCGATATGATGGTGACGCCTCGCGTCGTGGCCGAGGCGCGTGCCCACTTCGATTGTGATAAACTCGAGGGGGCTGAGCTAGAGGATCAGGGCGGCGAGGGCACCGCCCTGACTCACTGGGAGAAGCGCATACTCGAGAACGAGGCCATGACTGGCACGCACACACAGTCGCCGGTCTTCTCACGCATCACCCTCGCCCTGATGGAGGATTCCGGCTGGTATCGGGCCAACTATTCCATGGCCACTCCCCTAAGCTGGGGCAAGGGCCTGGGCTGTGCCTTTGCCATGCGCAGCTGCAAGGATTGGATACAAATGAATCACTCCAGGTAAGTAACGAAAAAGTGCAGCACGCATCTGAGTTGACTTATTGTTCTCATTGCGTATCCCAAAAACAGAGGCCGCTCCATACATCCGTTCTGCTCGAAGGTCAAGCAGGATCCGCTGCAGACCGAATGCACGGACGATCGCAACTCGGTGGCGCTGTGCAATCTCATCCGGCACGACTACGAGCTGCCCAGGAGCTATCAGAACTTTGATAGCCTCCACAATGTGAAAAGCGGCGAGGAGGGCTTCTACGGCGGCTCCGTTTCGCTGGCGGACCACTGTCCCTACATACAGGAGTTCACCTGGCGCAGCAAGAACATCATAGTGCGCGGCTCCCACTGTCGCTTCGTCGAGAATAATCCGAGTAATTACAAGTTCTATATTCAATTTTGTTCTCTGCTAAAGCAACTCTCTTGCAGAGCCGGAGAAAAACTTTGCCCTGGAGAGCTACGGCGATGGCTCGAAGTGCTTTGATCATAGCGAGGCCATGTGGGAGGAGCGCTCCTGCCATCAGACCCGCGAATGGCAGCACTGGGGCAGCGGCTGCTACAAGTATACCTGTTTCGATGGTCGCCTGCACATCCTGGTGGGCAACTACACCTACAAGTGCTCGTTTCCCGGCCAAAAGCTCTCCATTCGCATAGCCGCCAATGACTGGCTGCACAAGGGAGCGATTATGTGTCCGCCCTGTCATGAGCTGTGCGGCTCGCACTTTGCCGCCCAGGGCAAACAGTGTCGCCCCAGCGAGGAGCCCGATCCACTCAACAAATATCCGCGCGACAATCTAGCTTGTGGCGCGGACAGCAGACACCAACGTTCTGTGGCCATAATCAGTGCTGCACTCTTGCTGGCAGCAGTTCTGCGGCTGGGGCATAGTTAGGCTATCCCCGGCCCGGTTTCAACTCTCGCTGATCCACTTGGGTGCAGTTTTATTTGCTCTACGTGTATTTAGTGAAATTTGTACATTTTAGCTGTATATCCATAAGCTCAATTCGACTAAATGTAGGGTCCTTTGTAAGCGTAATTCCCCCCCCCCCATCCCTTCGCCCATGCCTAGCTATATCTTAGTGTAAATGTGTTTTTTATGTCCATCCCTACATGTGATCTTTTTTGAGTGTGTCCGTGAGAGGAGAACATTTACGGGCAGCTCTAGGTTTTCTTGAATTCTGATCTAAACATTCCAAAGCCTGATGCAGCCCCAGAGCCGGGTGGCTCTGTGTTGTTATTTTGTTTCGCGTCGGCAACAAAACAAACCTTGTTATTTATTATAATTGTTTAATTCTCGTTTTTTCGAAATTCGTTGATTTGATTTTCATGTGATTTATGTACTCGATGATTAGTAGTTCGTCGTCTAAGTTTAAACTTTAAAGTGTTTCAAGCTCAATTTCAGCCTGCCTATCGAGCATTTAATGATTGTATTTGTATTCTGTAGTGGGGATAGACTTGAATTGTGAATAAACAAAGAGAACATGATATTGTACTACAAGAATTTACGCTCGTTTCCTTTCATATTGTCTTTAAATAAACTTTATTGTAATACTTTCCTATTGAATACGGTTTCACAGATCTCCTACCAGTTCGTAGAGGATCTCACTCTCACCTTCCGTGTCCTTAGCTGGAGATTCGCTGGCATTCCCATTCGTTTTGGACGATGGAATGGCCTTCCTTTTGAATCGCTTGGCAGGGGTCTTAATGCGTTTCGAGCTATTCAAAAACATAATAAATGATATTTGGGCATTCTAGAGTCTTAATCATTGTACTCACGCCTTTGCTAGCTCTTCGATTACGGGCAAAAGTGTGGAGCGTGTCACACCTTTTGACTCCTCCTCCTCCAGCTCCTTGGGATGCGCCTTGCGCTTATGCGATCGACAATTCGAGCCGTTGGAGAAGTCCTTGTCGCAGAAATTACACTTGTACGGCCGTATGCCGGTGTGCAGGATGAGATGGGACTTCAATGTTTTGGTACGCTTGAATTCCGCACCGCAGAGCTCACACTTGTACTGCCGCTTGTCGGAGTGGACTATTTTGTGCTTGTTGAAGGTTCGTCGCGTCTTGAGCTTCAGTCCGCAGATTTTGCACTCGTAGATGGTGGCACTGTGCGTGTCGGCATGCACCTGGAAGTGGATTCAAAGATTAGTGTTGCTCGGAGATGGCTCCATGGAGCTACTCTACCCTGAGTCTGGCCTTGTTCTTAAAGCCTCGGTGGCAGATGGGGCATTCAAAGGGACACTCGTCAGTGTGGACCAGCTTGTGATCATTGAGAGCGGCGAGAAAATTGAAGCTCTTGGCACAGATGTCACATATGTAGGGCTTCATCTGCTTATGGATGCCCTCAATGTGGCGCTTGAGGGTTCCTGGCGTGGTGAAGAGCTTCGCACAGTGGGGGCAGGAATTGTCCGCCTTGTCCTTGGCCGGCAAGTGGCTGCGCTGGTGGGTCTGCAGCTGAGGTACTGTGGGAAAGCTGGCCCCGCATTGGTCGCAGTCGAGATTTGGCAAGTCGTTGGGCATGACATTATGCACATCCAGCATGTGTCTCTTGTATGCATTCGGCTTTTTGTAGGGTTTGCGGCAGATTTCACATTTGTATGAATATATGGTAGCTTTCTCGTCCAGTGAGTTTGGCACAGGGTCATCCTCAACATCGGATTCTGAGCTTTTGGCAAGCTCTACATCGGGCGGCTCCTCTGACGGCTCTTCGTATGGTTCCACATCATTATATTCCTCGTTTTCGCTCTCTTCTATTATGTCAGACTCCTCCTCGTAGCACTCTTCTATTATTTCATCCTCCATACAGTCCGGGTGTTCCTCTGCCTCAATATTTTCATCTTCTGCTTCCACGTCCTGCTTTTGCTCTTCCTGTATTTTCACTTGCACGTGGAAGTCCTCTTCTACTGCCTCTTCTATAACTTTCTCCTGCAAACGCCGTGGCGGTGCCACGGTAACTGCTCTCGACATAACGTGCTTCCACTCGTCAGTCAGCAGACCGCAATCGGTGCGGAGCTCCTCGTAGTCCACAGACGCCCCATCCGGGCTTAGGTTCTGCAATCTAAGGAAGAGCGTCTGGACACGTCGCACCCGCTCCGAGAACTCAATCAGGCACTCCATTAGCGTAAAGCATTCCGCACACAAGTGGTTGCTCAGCTCGTCCTCCGGTTTGATCTGCAACATCAAGTTGGGTGTAAATTTATATTTATTGGCAGGGTCCAACCACTCCTTACATCCACCCAGAAATATTTGCCTATGGCCATGGCCAACATGCTCGTCCAGGAGGACTGTTGGTCCCCTTGTCGCGCATAGACGTTTGCGTTCTGCGGATGGTCCTTGGCGCAGAGGCGACACCATTTGTGCCAAGCAGCTGCACCGGCATCGGCTACTGCCCCTCCAGCTCCCTGGTTGGTCATCGTGAATCCGCAATCATCCAATATAAAATATTAACTAAAAATTGTTTTTTGTTTTGTAAAAGAACGCGCTTGGCCAAAAATTGCAAATTTGCGGATGGTGTGATGCCAGATCATAAAAAAAGATCAAATCTTTGGTATTTTTGACATACCAAATAATAGAGTTGAAATGTGGTTGGCGGTTTCTCGTTAGAAGATTGGTTCTCCGCATCCTTCCCAAGTGCGCTTTATTCATTTTCAGGATTTCAATGTCCTTCTTATTTTCTGAAACGTTACATCGAAGGTCGAAAACAACCATCGATATATAGCGCAATTATAAAACCATCGATGGTTTCGCAGCTCTAACGGATACATTTGGGAACTTGTCGGAATACATAGTATTCCCCCACTGGTCCCAGCTCAGATATAACGAGAATGGATGTGTCTGGGTGTAACCCTCAAAATCTCAGCTAGCAGCTTGGTACGATCGATCTATCAGTGTTGTAAGCAAATTAAAGCAGAAAATCTCGCGCTTGTATCTCTGGCATGTGAAAGGCCGATCCCGACTCAAACTAAATCTAATCTCAGTCTCAGTCTATAGAGCAGTCGCAATCGCGCCGTTTCTCTGTTTAGTAAGACGTCTTAACGTCGATTTATTTTGAATATATATATATATATACATAAGTATGTCGGGGTTCGTTGTGTGCTACATTTGCAGTAAGACTGATACGCATTATCTCTGTAGAAAACAAAACACCCGTTGATGAACGTTCTTACAGCTCTTGTGGCATTGATCTGGCAGGGCGGGGTGATGTCGGCGCCAGTGGACAACCACAATAGTCCCAAGTCACAGGTGGAGTACATTAATAGCCTGCCAATTGATGGTCCCAACGCGTATCCGAAAATTGTGCCCATCACTCGTCCCCCTCTTGTGACTCAAACTGCTCCACCGCCACCCTTCAACTCGAAGAACTTTGCATATAGTCCGAAAACGCAGACTTGGACCCTTATAGCCCCTGGTGATCCTCAACCAAGTGACGAGACGCTTGTCTGGAATAAGGCTAACGACAAATGGCTGACCAGCTCTCGCTAGGCGCATAAGCTAACTATTTCTGTTCTTTAATGGTATATCAAAGTAAAACTGGAAACATTTCTGTGGACATTGATCCATTCTCAGCGGAAGTAATAGCGGCTTTGACGATGCGTGTCCGTGCTGGTCGACTGAGTCTGGCGCATACGACAGAGCTCGTCGGCGCTGTAGTTTAATTTGCGTGTGGCGTTCTCTGAGAACTGCTCGAACTTTGTCACCAGATCCTCCAGCTGAGCCTTGAGAGCTTGCACCTCGATGCGTACGTCGCTCAGGGCATTCGTGTGGTTCTTCAGGTTGACCGTCACCTCGTTCTCCTGTCGCAGCTGCTGTGGAACATTCGTGGCGGACCGAGGACGCAACAGCTCGTTTATATGGGAGAAATGCTGTGGCGGCTTATTCTGGTTCGCATCAGCCCCGTCTCTCTGTGTCTGGGGGCATTGCTGCTGGCGCTGCAGACTGCGACTGAAGATGTTGTAGTTGCTTTCGAACTGACGACGTCGGAGACTCTGATTCCTGTCCCGCCGCTCGGCCACCAGTTTGTATATGTTTAGCTTTATGTTCTCGGGCAGCTGGTTATCACGCGGATCGTTTGGTCGAAAGGCGAACTGCAGCTTGTCGCGCGAGGTGCTCAGCAAGGCACTCCGCTTGCAGAGTTGGATCAGATGGGCGGGCGCATTCCTTAATAGGCGCGAAAAGAAGAGACTCTCCAGACGCGACACCAGTTCTGCCTGTCTCACCTGGCGGTCCAGTGAGGCACTGACTTGCAGTCCTTGAATGTCACTAACAGCCAAGCCCACCATCAAGTTGGTGAGAATCACAGTGACCAGCAGCACAAACGCTAGGAAGATGATGTGGGCTGTGACGGGGAACTTTACGGCGTAGTCCCCGTAGAAAATGTCTTCAAACTCTAGCTCGCCGGACATCATGGTTATGGTCTTCAGAAATGACCAGGTTATGTTCTCAAAGGCTGGGTAATCATTGAAGAGCACAGCAAAGCTTAGTCCGAAGGCCACAAACAGGCATATGTAGGCCAACATAAATTTTCCAAAGTTGACCGCCACTGAATTAAGTATACGAGAAGAAGGGAGTTCATACAGGATGGCTTATAGCAATATATTAAGCGTACATACATACATACCTTTGGTAAACATTTGAATGTAAATGCCAAATATGGGAAAGCGACCAACCAACATCATCAGCTCCAGCCAGACCAGGAGGATGACCACTGCGGCCACATGATGCTGCCACATGGGGACCGCTCTCAAGTCACCAGTACGCAAGATCTCCGGGGACTGGGGAGGAAGGTTGCTGAGTAAAACGATTAATTTTAATTAGTTTAAATTATTTCGTACCACACAGAGAAACACTCCAAAGACAATTGACCACTGAAGCCAGTTTTCCCAGTATTTGGCATACCCGTGGAGGCCGTGTGCCATCTGAAACAACTCCTTACCGAGCAGAATAAAATTCAGTACAATTACAAAGTAGCAAATTGTGGAAACATAGCCAGCGGCTGTGCAAGTCGCGCCGTCCTTGCAGGAGCGTGCAAACACCCCAATCACGTAGAGTGTGAACAGCAGCACGAAGATGGTGTGATAGGCCAGGCTCATAAGAAAGAACTTGCGGATGCGGCGCCACTTGAGGAACAGGAACGTCTCGCAGAGTGGATGCATCAGGATGCGTTTTTGCCCGACCTCGATCAGCGCGAGCAGCAGCTCCGTCTCGCCGCGCTCCATCGATCGGCTGGGGACCAAGGGCTGAAAATCCAGATAGATCTGGCAGTCCACATTGCCAAGTTCGTGATCGTAGGCCTTGATCGAGGAGCTAAATTTGTTCATTAGCTTCGGTATTATCTCGGGAGTTCGTCGCACTATGAACGACAGCGCTGAGACGCGTCCATCGGTGCGGGCGGTGACATCGGCTCCGTGTTCTGTTGAAAGAAAGAAAACTGCATCAGTATTCCGCCGTGTTGCGTCCCCATTTCATTTGGGCGATAATTCAAATTGCCACTTGCCAATCAACGCAAAGACACAGTTGCTGTACTCATTGAACGCTGCGGCGTGGAGTGGAGTGAATCCGAAATGATCCGGCTGTAAATCCGGACGTGAGTGATTGGTCAGTAAGTGTAATCGTGGAATATTCGTTACGCACCTTATTAACGTCCGCACCCGCGGTCAGCAAGGCGTAGCAGCAGTCGAGGCAATCAGACTTCTTCACGATGGCCGCGTGCAAAGCCGTTCTGCCCTCACGGTAAGTGGCGTTCACATTCGCGCCGTGCGATATAAGCAGATGCACTGTGGCGATCGACTGCGTGAGGCAAGCTATATGCAGTGGCGTCTGTTGGCTGGCATTCCGGCAGTCGACATCTGCCTTGTGCTCCAAGAGGAGTCGCGCGCAATCCACGTAGTCGTTCTCTGCAGCTGTAATTTAACAAATTTGATGTATCCAATTATGTCACTTGGATGCCTCTGTGGGAACTGGGATGATATTCGCTTACCCAAATGCAAAGCCGTCACCTTGCCTTCATAGAACTGCGAACGCACATCGGCATGGTGGCTGAGGAGTAATTGAACGCACTTGGTGTAACCCAAGGCACTGGCCGTATGCAGTGGTGTCTCGGTGTACACCTGAGGGGTATTCGGATCCGCTCCGTACTTGAGCAATATTTCGACGCAGTCCACGGCGTTCCAATCGATGGCATAGTGCAAGGCGGACAGTTTCTCGATGCCGATGTTGATGTTCGCCTTTCGACGCAGCAGCAGGAGAATGCACTCAACGCTCTTGGAACTGAGGCGAGAACATTTTAATTACACACATGTGGACACACTCTGTGGCTGGAGGTTAGTAGTTGGCGGCGCATTCGACGGATGCATTTGGGTGGAGAATATTTTTGTTGTTAGACCAGCCCACGCATGAGAAATACTCTCACACTCACCCCACTCGCCTCCCCAAAACTCACCTGGCAGCGCAATGCAGCGGCGTAACCTCCTTTCTGGCATCCCAACGATTCGGGTCGGAGCCGCCATCGAGCAGTGCCTTGGCTATGGGAGCATTCCCTCGAAAGCAGGCAAAGTGCAGGGGTGTGCGACCCCTGTTGTCGGTGGCATTTGGGTCGGCATTGTAGTGGTTCAGCAGACGCATTACGTTATCAACGTTCCCGTATATTGCACAGCAAATCAGAGCCAGATTGTAGTCGATGGAGTCGGGAATGAGTTCTGGGATGCGATGCGATGGAAAGCCAAGTCAAGTTTGGAGCGGAAGTCTGGTGATGGGTGGGAAACTTACCCAAAATGCATCCCGTTTTTACCATATCCACGACGTGCTTGGCATTGGGCATGGCACACAATGTACGCTCAATTTCTTGCGGGCGCCACTGGTTCTGCGTTTGTTGCTGGCGGTCGAAAATCTTTTGCGCCTCTTTGCTGAGGTCCGCATCAAAGTTGGCTTCGCTCGAGACGCTGCTCTTCTCGAAGAGCAGGTCAGCGTCCTGGTCGGCCGCCTGGTCGCTCTCCGAGTTCCATTTCAGATCATTTTCCTGCCAAAACAAACAAACCAATTAACGGATGTTTTGGGGCACAGATGATGAGAGGAGGAACGGGCATGCATGGCCTGTCTGCATCACTTACGATTATCGAGAAGCGCACGTTCTCCATTTTTCTCGGCCACTTCTGTCCGTTGTTATTTGTTTATACGCTTGCGGCCAATACAATAATAAGCGTTCGATTTGGACTGACCGACCGAACAAACGAGAGGATAGGCTGGCTCCAGCTGTTGGCAATTTTGTGTTCTTGCTGCCGCTCCCTGCACGCCTCATGGGGTCATCATCTATTTATTCTTGCGAATGAATAAATCGGCAATTAATCAGGGCACGCAACCAATTACACTTTTGCCATCTTTTCTGACCCTTTCTGGTAGGATCTTGTGGGCCAGCAGGAATATGGGTTGTACACAGGCGTCGCTCGATGAGGGCGTCGAGGGCGTCAATCAAATTTGTTTATTTAAAGCTTTTCAAGATATACAACTGTTCTCTCGCACCACTGGCAGGCAATGTGTGCTAATTTTTCACATTCACGGGCGTGCCTTTGTTTTTCGTTTGGCTACGGATTTCCTCTCTTTTTCCGTGACCGGAGCTAGTGAGGTGCGAAAGTGTACTGAACGCTTTCGAGACTCCAATTGCTGTCCAGCCTCTCAGGTTCACATGTTCTTCGTGCATACATATATCTGTTCGTGGGTATGAATGAATCTTTGCTGATGTATAAATATATTGGCACCGATTGCAGCTAACAGCTAGAATATTTTCAAATATAAATTTAACTCGAACCGAGTCTTTTAATTTACCACGCGCCAAGATTTTTGAAAACGTTGTTGTCCACATTATACTATCGCTAAAGAGCAGATGCAGCCCTGCCCAGGTATGCTTTTCCGATATTTTATAAAATGCAGCTCCAAACTTCGATGTCTGTCTCTCAACTTTACAAGGTGATCTCGTCTGAGAAAAATTATTATTAAAAATATATATTTTGTCTATGTGTTTTTTCGGTATATGTGCATTAAATAAACGTCGTTCAAGATAAACTCATAAAAATCTATGGTTAAACGGATGAGCTAAAAAATCAGCAATCATCAATAATAAAATAAAAACTAAAAATTGTTAATAATTTTTTGTAAATGGAGCCAAAAATATCAAATTATCGGCAGGCTGGATGCCATATAAGAAAAAAGTGTAAAATCTTGGTATTTTTGACATACTAAATAACGTAGCTGCATGTAGAAAATAACAGGTGTATTACTATTACTAGTTACATCTGTGTATAGTGAAACGATTTCAATTTTTGAAATTTTTGCTTAAACCATATCTAAAAATAGTGGAATAAAAATACTATTAGCTACTACTCCAGCTGTTCTTCTTCTTCTTTGAAATTGAAACCTCATCGTGAATTTGGCGCTAAATATTTCTACGTAACGTATAGTGTTAATTATAGGCCGTTTACACTGGGGCTGCGTCATGCTTCTTTGCGTCTTGGCGAAGACGCAGTTTTTTTTACATGGGTTAAGCATAGGGCCCTAGTGGTGGCAAAAAGTTGCGTCAGTG